GAAACTTTTGCTTTTGCTTTTGCTCCCTTCCTTCCTTAAAAAAAAAAAAACAAATGGATGGGAAGTGGGCGGCACCCACGCTCCTACAATTCAGGTCGCCTAAATAGTTGCTGATATGTATATTAAAGCAAATTGAAATCTATTAATAAACGTTTAAAAGTATTCCTATTCGCGCACGAAAAATAATGTGGTAAACTCTAAGAATGATTTTATCGAATTTTTAAAGGTTTATAGATGCAAATATGTTTTCTTTCTTTTAAAGAGCAATAAACTACCTTCTAATTTCTACACAGAAGCTAATTTTTGGTTTTAAGCAATGACAGAAAATTTCGTAAAAAAGCTATATTAATTTTAATTTTTTAAAGTAGACTTTCTGTCTAGCTTCTAATTAAAACGTACTTTAAGATCTACGTTCCTATTTTTTTGGCTCCAGTTGTAGAAAGTGAACGCAAGACTCTGGAATGAGGCGAGCGCAGAACCAGAACCAGAACCAGAACCAAGCAACAATAACAATTTGCCCATGCTAATAGTAACAAAAAAAAAAAAAAAAAAAGAAAAAATAAATAAACGCGGGAGTGCGAGAGGGAGCGACACTCTTTGTGCTGCTGCTGTTAATGGAAACATGTTGTGCATTTAAATTACCCCTCAATGGCATTTCGTTTGGCTCCTTAAGCTGGCTAATTAAAAGCAGCGCTAATATTGCGGATATTCGGAATAGATGGGCGACGGAGCCAAAAGGGCCAGGTGCGCACGCCAACGCCTTTTAAGCAGGTTCTCCACAAATCGCTCCGCGACATGCAACTAGTTTTTGTTCACCGTGTATCCGCAATTAGAAATTATGAATGCCATGACAAATGCGCATTTGTAAATTAATTGCCCCAAAGATGTCTATAAATTTTGATTTACAATTCTGCGAAACGCATTGTTACCAAAGAAGTTGGGGGCTTGGAAATATTCATTGCATAATACTGTAGGGAAATGTCTATGTATATTCTATACATGGGCGTAAAAATAGAATTATTAATATGGCAAGTGCCAGCGGCGTTGGTTTTCTCTAATCTGTAAATGCGCACTCGCATTCAATTGCAGTATTGCAATGATTAAATATGTATTAGCAGCTGTCGTCGTGTCTTTCGCGCTTACAGTGTTTGCTTATAGACGTAATTGAATGCCACTTAATTTATTTTAAATTTCTGTTATATGTAATTTCTTGAAAAAAAAAAATTTTAATTAAAAAAATAGGAATACTTTGTTGACCATATTTTTAAGATATTTGTATTGGATTCTACAACAATACTTTCCGAGTATATTTTTGTTTGATAAATGGAAAAAACCACTAACCCCTGAATATTCCATATTTGGAATTTCACAACTAAGCGTTGACATACGAATATTCAATTTGTTGTTAAAATGGTTTTAAAATGTATTTAAGATTAAACGTAGGAAGAATTTAAGAAGAGTATCAACTATGAGATATTTGCCACTTACTGTCCCTTTACAAACTATGTTATAAGGTGGTTTTGTAAAAAAATTTTAATTATGCTACAAGTCAGACTTTTAAGAAATAAAATTTAACCACAGTACAAGTTAATTGCCTGACAGACGCGCCAGCAGGAAAAGCCGGCCCAAGTAGGAAGTGGAAGTGGAAGTGGATGCCTTCATGGGAAGACCGGGACCGGTGGAACTGAGACTGAGATGGAGATTGAGCAAGAGACAAGGACGTTGCATTCGCAGCAGTCGACACTGACACACAAAGAGATGTGCGGTGTGGATGGAAATATAAATAGCTGCATGCAGGGAGCGAATCCACGACTGGTGAAACAGACCCAGCTAAGATGGCGTCGCTTCTGCCCACCCGAACCTGGTTCGTTTTGGCCAATACGGCGAAACAGGTCTATAAATCGCTGCGACAAATGTGCGTTGGTAACGTGTCTTTTTTTTTTTTTTTTGTTTGCCATTTTCCACATGATGCAAAGCAGGAGAGAGATTTGAATATCACGTTGCATTTAGAGCGTAACGCAATTTACGCGGGGGGTGGTGAGGGGTGATTCGCGCTATCAATACCGGTTGACAGGTGAAAGCGATAAGGCGTGGGTCGACATTGACACTGACGATGGCAAGGGAAGAGGGGGAATCCAACACCGTTGATAAGATAAAAACATCCTCCTTTTTTTTGGGGGGGTAAATAAAGGCTTTTGGGGGGAGTCGTCTGTCGAATGCGACAAACAGAGCATAAATTCGATTACGGCAATTGCTCAACTCGATTCGCTTGCATGCCGACAGCCAACCCTGTGGCTCCTCATTTTCCGCTCCTCGTCGCTGCTTTCCTAGCATGTTCATGCATTAGCGCCTCGAAAAATCATTGAAATGGAAAGTGAGCTCCCGCTGTCGATAAACAAGGACCTTTTAACCCTCTGTTTGCCTTCAAAAACGTGCCTGCCAAATTGCCTTTGTTTTAGCGCTTTCGTATGTTTTTTGGCAGAGCAATAAAAAAGGTTATCATGATATTCCATGAAACAAGGAAAAATAATTATATTATATCTCTTAACCATACACTATTACTACCATTAATAGGCTTTTATTTAAGAACTGCAAGTGCTTTTACCTACCTACTATATCTGTCATTTATTAAAACAAATATTTTTGTTCTAAATTTATTAATGATTTTTGTTTCTATCAGAAAATACAAAATTGTATGATTCGTATGATGTTCCAAATAGAAGCAAAAAATAAATAAATAAATTACAAGGTCAAATAAATAAACGAATATCAAACTCATTTAGTCAGCAAACATACTAAAACAAATAGTCAAATTATGGATATGAAATGCATTACATCCTTTCTTAAGAGACAACTTCATGGTAAACTTTCTAAGATTAGTTTTTAGGATATCTTTGGACCATCACTCACCTGCAATTCGGCCCTGTCCACGTCCCACTGTGATCGCTCCAGCTCGAAGCGCGACCACTCGTGCTGGATGAAGTGCAAGATGCCCGGTATTGTGTACTGGGGCGTGGTGGCCTGCTGATTGTTGGGTCCGCCGCCAACCATCCCGTTGCCACCGTCATCACCGCCCACGTTGCCCATTCCGCCGACGCCGATTAGGCCGCCAACATTGGCGTTCTGTCCACCAGCGTTCAGGCCGCTGATGCTCAGACCGCCACTGCCGCCGCCGCCCAGGCTGTTGGACAGGACGCCGCCGATGGAGGAGTTGGCACCGCCCACTCCGCCGCCGCCAAGGACGCCGGCTCCTCCCGCACCGCCAACCGGCTTGTTGTTGATGCCAGCGGTGGCTCCCGAGTTGGTGCCCATTGGTTCACGTCGCTCTCAGTGGCTGTGCTGTCTGTCGGGTGTTGTAGCTGCTCCTGATCGTGGTACTGCTCCTGCTCCTGCTCCAGCTACTTCGAATCTTGTCTTGCCAGCTGTCTGCCTTTGAGTGCCCAGTGCAAAGTCCTTTGTTTATGGCTCTCTCCAACTTGTTTGTTCGCTGGTCTAACGGTTGGTCCTGTTTCGTTCGTTTTTTTTTTTTTATGTTTTGGGGAAAGAAGAGCAAAGTTCCGTACATGAGACAAATGAGGTCATTGAATTTTCCGAAAAAGGGGGAGTAGGGGGAGCAGCCACAGGACACTCTCTCACTGGCTTGCTCTCTCCCTCTCCCTATGTGCTACTACTACGCCCCCACCCCGCTCTCTCACTCTCGTTGCAACTCTCTTTACGGTACACGCGACCCGCACTCTCTTTAATCTTTAGTGTTGCCAACGGCGTTTGCAAAAAGCCTAAATTATAGCACAAAAAGCCGTGGAACAGCTGATGCAACGCTGTAGCTCAGTTTTAAACAATTTTCGCAGGTTTTACGGTTAAATTCCACACTTTCGAATGGCTAATATTCGTAGGAAAAACTATCACTCACGCACGTACACATTCGCAGGGAAATTTGAATGGCACACACATACAGACGCACGCGGATTTCGATAGGGTTCTTGTTTCTCTTCTTTTTTTAATTTTTAACTTCTATCCAACTATTCGTATTTCGCTCTCTGGGCAGCCGATGCCAACGCACTCGAACCTTTTTTAATAGCTTCTGTTAGTTAACTTGACAATTTTGTTTACTATTTACAGCTTTTCCAAGGAAACGTTGTTGCTACCTTTTCACCGTTTTTAGTGCGAGCAATCGAATATGGAGAGGTGGGATTGGAAGGAGAGAGCGCTGCAAGCGGTCGATTAGTCCATAAATTGGTGCATAATTGCGCCTGTTTGCAATTACTAATTAACTAAGGCGAGCACTGGGCGATGCTCACAAAAAGTCGATTAGATTCGGCCGAACATCAGAATGTTTGGCCTGGAACTCTGAAATAACATACAGAGTTGCAGCCCGCACAGCATGCCTCTCGCTCGCACTCGCGCACCTGCCGTACCGTCCGGACTTCGTATACGGGCGTCTCGCTCTGCGAGTCTATATACAAAGAAAAACACACGCACACTTGCACAAGCGTACGCATACGCCAAAGCCGAGTTAACTAATTTCACTTTGTTGAATTCGGCGCGTCTTGTTTTTGGATTGTGGGTGAAGTAAAGAGGGGCGCGTTTTGTGTCGCTTACTTTGCGCTTTATTGCACCGCTTGGCTGTATTTAGCAATTTTTGCCTTGATTTTCATTGGTAATTTTTCACGCGTAATTCTTGTCTGCAGACCGTAGGTGGACCGTTGAAACATACCAACGCACAAGCTAAATATACTAACAAAAATACTACAAAAGCAGGGCTACGTCAGCTGCAAACCATAATTATCGACAATCGTTATCAAGTTAACGTCGAATGTTAATTATCATTCGCTGTTAACTACGCTTGGATCCTATTTTATTTGGGGGAATCTTGGAATTCCATGGAGGTTAATGGCTTTAGGTTATTAAACTGACAGTCAGTACTTTCTTAACTTACTCATAGATATTTAGAGCCCCTTTTACCTAATGTAACGCCTTCAAGTCCAATGCCAACCGCAATGTCCTTTCCATGACTGTACATTTATTCCGGATAGACATTAATTTTTACATATAAACTAGGTACTAACAGTGTTATGAACATGAAATGCTTAGCTAGATTGCGCCACAGTTTGGCCGTGATTTGAGTTTATTTGTTTGTCCTTAGCAGATTCTTTTGATCGAAATACTCGTGTTGGGATAGCATTCTCCCCTTACAAGAACTCCTCGCACCAGTCGTTGAGGCAGTTGTAGCAATCGGACGCCTGTTTGGAGCTCGCGTGGCACACCTCCTTCATCCAGTCCTTGAAGAGCTCCTCGTCCTTCTTCAGCACCAGGTACTGGCCCAAAACGGTGTACGCCTGTGAATTGGTTATAAAGTCAACAATTGTAAACACTGCATTGTTTATTTGCGCACATGGCGTCATCGGATTTACACACGCACCTTGTCAAATCCAGCTTCCGTCAAGCGACCGCCGAGGGTTTCGCCGATTCCCGCCAACTCCGTCACCGACTTGTTACCCATCGGTTCCGCCACAAAATTCTTGTACTTCTGAGATGTTCCGGACATTTCTGCTCTTTTTTTCAGCTTGCAATTTGTGAAATTCGAAAAGAAACCACAATATTCGCGGCGTTTCTAAAAATGACGCACAACAAGCAGTGTGACCGATAACGACAAAAATACCATCCAGCCTAAACAAACTATACCACTTTTCGAAACTTAAGTATAGAAAATACCATTTGCTGCTGGCATTCAAATAATTAAAGCATCACGGACGCAAACCTTGGTTTGGAATTCTACTAACATGTAGCAGTGACTCGAACCATTTGACATGTTCAGAAAAGAAATGTATTAAAAAACCATTATTTACAAATATTTGAAAACCAACAAAAAAACAAAAATATATTTTAAAATAATAAAAAAAGGTTTTTCGTTTTTTTGAACAACCTATTTTATATTATCATTGTTAAAACAAGCTAGGTAGTTCTAATAAATAAAAAACAACCTGAAATATACAGTTATATTTAATTGGTGTTTTTTCATATTTTTCTTGCTTATTAAACTGTTCATGGGTAATTTATACATAAATTCGGAAAAATATATTTTGAATTTTGTAGTTATTTGATAGAATGTATTCTTTCAAAATTTAAACATCCCTTGTAAATATACATATATCGCTTGTTTATGGTTTTTAAAAATATATATTTCTCCAATATTTTGCTGCTTAAAAATAATTTCTTATTTAATAGGGGGGCAATGGCAATGCACTTGTGTTTGGTATGCATCAAAGAACTTGGCTTAACCCAATTTAGCACCAGTGGGCTTTGGACATCCCACTGAGCACGAACGATAAGACCCTTTCGACCGAAGCTTCAACTTGGGAAGCAGTCCGTCCAAAACTCCAGTCTTGATTGACACCTGGCCCTGTTCTAGCTTATCAATGCCTAACGGCTCACCCGCTATAAAAACCGCAACTTAGAGTTCCGTGCCACATTGAGGTTTAATTTTCAGCAAAGATGTTGGCGCTTTGCTGGCTCTGTTGTGGTTTGGCCCTTAATGGGATGGGTGAGTTATGGGGAATCGGATATACTCGTACATATCTTGGCTTTGTCTCCATCGACTTCTCCGCTGACCGAGATTCGCGCGCACAAATCGCTTGGATGCTGAGTAATTAAAGCGCTCCAGGCCAAGATTTAATTGCTGGGTCGGAACCGGTTTCGAGGATTACTAATGCGTCAGCCGTCTTAATGAGTTGTGGAGCTGGGAACTGGGAACTGGGAGCTCCGATCATGGGGGCTTGGGTCACCTTTTGGAGCCCGGTGCCCGATCAGTTGACGATCGACGGTTAGCTGGTCAAGATGTCCTCGAATGCGTTGGCCTGCATCTGCAATGTGATAAATCCCTGCCGAAACGAGGTCTCCACCACATTTGTGGTGATCCAATGGCTCATCACTGGCTTTGCCGCCCTCGCCCAGGTGGTGCGACCCGTGCTCCTGCTCTGTAAAGAGGTCTCACATCATTCTGGCTATTTTAAAAACCCATTCCCCTCGCCCTCTTTCAGTTGGCATTCGTGGTGAGGTGGCTCTGAATCAGGAGGATTACAACAAGACCTGGATCTATATGCCCAATGGCCAGGGTAAACCGGAGGTGGCCTATCTGGTGGAACCTCCTCCCGAAAACCGCATTAATCTGCCCCAGCTCATCAAGTTTGAACTATATGGAAGGTGAGTGCAAATCATTGAATGTTCTTCAGTTAAATATACAGATTTTGTTAAAAACAAAATGCTTAAAATATTTTTTAGAAAGTAAAACTGCCAGGTCTATAGGGTTTTCTTCATTATTAAACCAACTACCAAATACTTACACAGTTTTCTATCTTAGAAGAAGGTGTAAATAGTGTTCTGTTTACGCAGAACAAAAAATTTAAAATAAATAATACTAGTTTTGATTAAATTTCGTATTCATTTTGCCTCGATTAATATGATATATTCATTTAAAGAGAGAAAGCAAATAATACCCTTTTTCAATTATGAAATTGATACTTATTTGTATGTTTAAGCCAATCGATTAAATTAATTGTATACCAATAAAACGTTGCAGCAATATTATATTTTATTAAGCAGTTGTTACTATTAAACATTTCTTTTTTTTTCCCTACCTAAAGCGACTCAAGTTCCAGTGCCGATTTCTGGATAGATGACAACAATTTTGATTTTCCGCAGCGCCACAAGCGAGACACTTGGCAGGAGATGGCTGAAAAGTTCAATCCGGATCTGGACACTAAGATTCTCGTCCACGGCTGGAAGTCCAGCACCATGAGCAACTCCATCCAATCGATTCGTGGAGCCTATATCGAACGAGGTCAGGTGAATGTGTTCGCCATCAACTGGAAGGATCAGGCGGATAATATTTACTACCTAACGCCGGCTCGGTATACGGTGCAAGTGGGCAGGGCGGTGGCCAAGTTGATAGATCTCCTGGTGGAGGAGAAGGATGCGGATCCGCAGAGGATTCACCTCATAGGCCACAGCCTGGGTGCCCACATAATGGGCTATGCCGGATCCTACACCAAATACAGGGTCAATCGCATCACGGGTCTGGATCCGGCTCGTCCTGCATTCGAGGATTGCATTGGGCCGGAGAATCACTTGGACGATACGGATGCCGATTTTGTGGATGTGATACACAGTTGTGCCGGTTATCTGGGATTCCGAAAACCGATTGGTATGGTGGATTTCTATCCCAATGGCGGTGGACCACCGCAGCCTGGCTGCAAAGAGCTTTCACAGATTTTCAGTGAGTAAAGGGTACCTAAATCATGTTTAAACAAAGTAAAGACCTATGTTTCTATTCAATTTTCAGCTGGCTGCAGTCATGGACGTTCCTATGAATATTATGCCGAATCTATAAACTCCCCCAAAGGTTTCTATGGTGTTCCCTGCTCTGGATTAGACGAACTTAAGGGAAAGAACTGTACTGGCGGAAAAATCCTTATGGGTGATCCTGTTCCACGGGAGGCTCGAGGAATATTCTTTGTGAAGACGGCCAACAAGCCAAGCTATGCCCTGGGAATTGATGATATCTGGAGTAACTGACTATTGCTTTATCTTCCTCTAAATATGAGAAAGTAATATTTATTAATAATTTTATTTACTATATGTCGTATGAAATAGAAAGACAGAATGGCACAATGACAAAGGTGGTTTGTTACTCCTCCGGTGTCTTAGGATTGCTTCGCAACTTCATAGTGCTTATAGCCGCTAACATCTTCCAGTTCTTTGGCGTTGAACTTGGCCAGCAGTGTGCTACGCCCCGCATAGGGTGGGGTGTATTTAAAGGTGGCAGCCGCAGTGCCACCCACTGGGATCTCGGCAACCTGTAGAGTTCGATTTTTGTTAGTATCAATACTACTTGATCGTTACAGAAGTACTACTTGCCTTGAGCTTTAGAGGCGTCTTGATGCCCGGTCCCTCCACGGTGAACAGACCCTTGTGCAGGGGAATGGGCAGAGGATTCTCCAGGCGCACGATTACATCCAGTTCCTTCTGCACCACGATGCCAGCATCACCGAACTTAAACTTGATGTCCGGCTTGCGCAGCATGAGATTTTCCTTGGCATAGTAATCGATGTCGGTGTCCTTGATCTTGGCCGCAGCGGTGATCTGGAAGGCGGCGTGCGAGAACAGCTTGTCGAAGTACTCCTTAAAGAGGACCTCCATCCGCACATATTCGCTGCTCTTGGGCTTCACTTCCAGTTCGAAGTCCATGGCCTTGACCTTCACGGCACCCCTGCCTGTGTAGTGAACGGTATCGCATGCAATTTGACCCTTGGCCAAGTGGGCTGTACTTTCGCTTTTATTGCTAACTTTCAGTACCGCACTAAAGTTCTCCCCCATTTTCAGGTCACTTTTCAGCTCCATATCGAACTCTATATCTTTGAATGTGTCATTAAGGTAGTATCTGCTAAGGGCTTTGCCGGATTTTTTGAGGGCCTTGTACATAGTGCTCCTTTCTTCTTTGGAATTTTCTGGATCTTTGTAGCAATCGGTGATGTCTTCTCTTTCCCAACTCTTGACCGCCTTGGTGCTGATTTTCTGACCCACAGACTGGGTATCTCTATGGATGAGCTTTAGCGGTTGATTGGGTCCATCGTCGCGCCAGGTAAGAACATCCGCATTAACCTCAGCGAAGACAAAACCACAATCGTAGGCTATTTGAATCTCACCGTTTTTCACGGCTGAAACGGGAGTGGGACCTAGTTGATACTTTCCATCGGATGGCTCTTGGGGGGTGCTATCCACCACCTGCCAGCCATCGAAAGTGCCCTGCTGACCCACTCCCAAATCCGGTCGCTGCATCCAAAGTTCGTTCCACACGTGAAAGTTCCATATTCCCTCTTTATTGTTTTTTGAGTCCGAAACCAGGTCAATGGTCAGGGAACCTTGGCAATCGTGAGCAGATTCGAAGCAGGTAATGACCCTAGTTGGTATTCCCAGGCTCCTTGAAATTGTGGCCAGCACACCGCCGTAAACCCAACACTGGGCGTACTTTATAGCCGCATTGGTTTTGTAGTATTTCTGAAGGATCTCCATTGAACCGGTCCAATTGTTGGGTGCCACACCACCCGAATAATCGTTCGTCGGCGACCACTTGCCCCAAAGGATGCCATTGTCATTGTCATTCACGTTCACCGCAGCGGACAGAGCACGGGCCACTCGCACAGGATCACCTCTGAAGGCTGGCGGAACTTTACCCACGGTGCCCAGGACCTTCAAGCTGCACTCCAGTATGTCCCGCTCGAACTGACCGAGTTTCCAGGGCAATTGACTCATGTTGTTGTGGCTGCCGACCGAAATGAGAGTGGTGTCATTCAACACATACTCCTTGCGCTGATCGCGATCCTCCAAATACACCTGATCCTGCGGACACCAGGGATTGAACAGCACATAGATGGGCAGTGGCAGGGTATAGCTCCTCGATCCATCACCCAGCAGCTTCGTGTCGATGTCCATTTTCCATTGCGTTACGGGGCAGTTAGCTGGTGGTTTGATCAGTACTGTGAGCGTTTGACCTTCATGCGTTTCAATGCCCGATCCCCACTCCAATGAATCCCCCAGATAGTCGATGCCATCGTGGGGAACCAGGGCACTGAAGGTACCCCTTCCGGCACGTGCTTCGGTGTCATCGGTCACGCTCAGGATGAAGCTGATTGCATCCTTGCTGGGGCTGTAATCCCGGTCGAAGTGGATCCTCAGCCGGAAGGGCTCGCCTCTCCTTACGATCAGGGCATCACTGGCAGCTGCGTGGAAGTAACTCGTGTGGTGCTCCTTGTGGTTGTCCTCCAGGCAAAAATCAACTTTCAGAACGGTCAGCACCGCCGAACTATCAGCACCTGTTGATTTCGATATAAGGTTTAATGTACCCAATATTGATATAATATTCTTAAAATAAATTGGATAATTTCATTTCGATTTATATGCATTTCTAAAAAAAAAAAACGATATTAATTCAATTTGGTCAACATTTTAAATACAAAATAAAATTGACAAAGACACCAACTTTAATTTTAAGCAAACACAAGAATCTAAATTAAAACCAAAAAGATTAATGTAAAAATAAAAAAAAAATTTACAAAATTATTATTTTTTAACAAACTCACAAATAATTCTTTTTTGATACAGTTTTGGAGTTACTTTTTACGAGGTGAAATATATTATACCTTCAACTTCCGCTGAAGATCGGCTAATGAGGAAAGGATTTACACTCCGGGGCTCACTATTCGGCAACCATCGGCTGAGAAAACTGGGCACATGATAACTAAAAGTCATTTTTAGTTTTCTTGTAATTAATATGTAATTAATAAGCACAAGAAACAGCACCGCACAAATATTTCAAATTATTTCGATTCGAACAACACGAAGTTTCAAACTCAACTAAGATTTAAGAAAACTTTAGCGGCTTTTATAATAAAATTTCTTATCTCAATAACAGTATTATGAGCAATGCTCAGTTTATTTTAATACTAATCATTTAATAACAACCATTACTAATATTTTGGGAAGGTCTTGGAGATATGATATTTGTGATTGTAATTCGAGAATTTCTTTCTTGGGTATTCATTAAAACAAATATGTGCTTACGAAATTTTAATTCATATTTGATACACAAGCTTACAAAATTCTTGCGTCAAAAGTTACACAAAACGAGCTCTTTTTTTGTGCAGTTCAACTTCCTGATCAAGAAAATCACACTGATTATTTGGTTAAAGCTTGATTTATTTCTTGGTTTTGCGGGTAATGCTTAGTCACATTTTTTTTTAAGCTGCAAAAAAAAAACTTCAATTCTGGATTGTTTTAAATTTGTAAGCTAGTGTAACTTGTAAAATTCTTTTGACATCATATAAATAACAGTAGAATAACGAGTAGTCATGAGCAGTATATAAAACCCAGAAGTATTTGACTTATTTTAAAGCAATCAAAATTTTTGAAGCAGCCTGTGATTCACAGTTGTCGAGAATATCTCAGTATTAGAAAACCAAATAGGAAATAGGAAACCCTGAAAACGGATGATACCTTAAATAAATTCCAATTACATTCTCTTTAAAGTTTTGATATAAAACATTAATATGTATTGTTAATATTATTTACAACATATCACTTAACCTACGAAATACAAAAGAAAACCCAATTCAACTAAGGTTTGTTCAAGCTATAACATCGGTGCGTCTGCGAATGATGTTGCTGCTCCGGTGGCTTCCATTGGGCTGCAGCAGATCCTCCGGTCGGGGCTCAATTTCATAGTGCTTATAGCCATCCACATCATCAAGTTCTTTGGAGGTGAACTTGGCCAGCATTGTGCCACGCCCCGCGTAGGGCGGAGTGTATTTAAAGGTGGCCGCAGCAGTGCCACCCACTGGGATCTCGGCGATCTGTAAACATAAATAAGAGATTTCAATTAGAGTTTTTTGTTAGAGTTTTTAATCTCAATAATAATTTTTAGCAGACGGTATTAGATCACACTTGATCAGCATCAACATGGAAGTTAATAACGTGGGGCGATTTCATTGTTGCCATTCTAAAAGAGGTCATAACTTTACAAGTTTTCAACGTCTTGAAAGACAGTTCCAATAAAATCTTCTTGAGACAAACATATGTTTATAATATAGAGTACATAATATAATATTTTAAGGCTGCGATTATACCCTTTAGCTGGCAGTTAAGTATAATATTAATCTATACATATTTGTTAAATCTCAGAGAATTAATAAGCGTTCTATTGGAGGTATAATAAATTAACTTTAAATATGAGTTGCTAAGAGGTCCTTTTTCGGTCTGGATCTTAATTTTTCCCAAAATTGATGTCTATGTCAACGCACCTTGAACTTCAGGGGCTGCTCGATGCCTGGTCCCTCCACGGTGAAGAGGCCCTTGTGCAGGGGAACGGGTAGTGGATTTTCCACTCGCACAATCACATCCAGTTCCTTCTGGGCCACGATGGCAGCATCGCCCAGTTGGAACTTAATGTCCGGCTTGCGCACCCGGAAATCGTCCTGGGCAAAGTAATCGTAGTCGGTGTCCTTGACCTTGGCGGCTGCGGAAATCTGGAAGGCGGCCTGCGAGGACAGCTTGTCGAAGTACTCCTCGAAGATGACCCCCATGCGCACAAAGTCAGTGCTCTTGGGCTGCAGTTCCAGTTCGAAACCAAAGGCCTTGACCTCCACGGCACCCACTCCGGTGTAGAGAACGGCATCGCAACTAATTTGACCGGTGGCCAGGTGGACGCGGGACTCGCTCTTGTTGGTCACCCTGAGCACCACACTGAAGTCCTGCCCGATCTTGATGTCGTCCTTCAGTTCCATGTCGAACTCTATGTCGTTGAAATTATCGTTTAGATAGTATCTGCTGAAGGCATGACGCGATTGCTTGAGGGCCTTGAGCATAGTGCTCCTTTCCTCCTCGGAACGCTCTTCATGCTTGTAGCTATCGGTGATGTCTTCTCTTTCCCATTTCAGCACTGCCTTGGTGCTGATTAGATGGCCTATGGCCAGGGTGTCCTTCCTGAGCAGCTTCAACGGTTGACTGGGTCCGTTGTAGCGCCAATACAGCTTATCGGCATTCACCTCCGCGAAGACGAATCCTCCATCGAAGGGCCTTAGGATCTCGCCGTTTTTCACTGCCAAAACAGAAGCGGGTCCCACCCGGTACATGTCATCGGAGGCCTCCTGCGGTGTGGCATCCACCACCTGCCAGCCATCGAAGGTGCCATGCTGACCCACGCCCAAATCCGGTCGCTGCATCCATAGCTCGTTCCACACATGGTAGTTCCAAATCGAATCCGTGGTCTCTGCATCCAACTTCTTGTTGTTCGAGTCGATGAACACGTCGACGGTCAGAGAGGCCTGGGTATCGTGGGCGGAGGAGTAGCAGGTGACGATCCTGGCCGGTATGCCCAGACTCCTGGCAATGGTGGCCAGGACTCCGCTGAAATTCCAGCACTGGGCAAACTTCACCGTCTTCTGGGTCTTGTGGAATTGCTGAAGGATCTCCACGGACCCGGTCCACTTGGTAGGTGCCACTCCGCCCGAGAAGTCTTCCGACCAATTGCCCAGCAGCACGCCATCGTCATCCACCGAGTTCACCAGAGCGGACAAGGCTCGCGCCACTCGCACAGGATCTCCTCTGTAGGCGGCCGGAATCCTGCCCACGGTGCCCAGGACCTTCAAACTGCACTCCAGCACATGACGTTCGAACTGGCCGATCTTCCAAACCGATGGACGCAGTCTGTTGTAGGAACCCCTCCAAATGAGCGTGGTGTCGTGCATCACATACTCCTTGCGCTGATCGCGATCCTCCAGATAGACCTGATCATCCGGACACCAGGGATTGAAAAGAATGTAGATAGGCAGTGGCAGGGGATAGCTCCGCGATCCATCACCCAGCAACTTAGTGTCTATGTCCAATTTCCACTCTGTCACCGGACAAGTGGACGGTGGCTTGATCAGTACAGTAAGCGTTTGACCTTCATGCGATTCGATGCCAGCCCCCCATTCCAGGGTGTCCCCCAGATGGTCGATTCCATCGTGGGGCACAAGGGCATTGAGGGTTCCGTGTCCAGGACTCGGCTTGGTGTCATCCGCCACGCTAAAGATGAAGCTGATCGCGTCCTTGCTGGGGCTATAGTCACGATTGAAATGGATCCGCAGACGGAAGGGCTCTCCTCTTCTCACGATCAGGGCTTCCTTGGCAGCCGCCGCATAGAAGTGACTCGTGTGGTGCTCATCGTGGTTGTCCTCCAGGCAGAGATCCACTCGGAGTACTCCCAGCACCGCTGAACTGGCGGCATCTGTTGAGTTGGATACAAAATTTGGTTTAGTAAACAAGAAAAAATTAGTTAGCTAATGGGTTTATCTTTATAATAGTTTAGGGTCTGGAAATGTATATTCTTTTTCCATATTGTACTAGAAAAACTTTAAGCAGTTGAAATTCCTGTCTGAAGGTATTCAATGTAATTTATTTCTAAACAAAACAAATATATAATTCGATACTGTTTATTTATGATCTATTGATGTACAAATTTATTTTATTAACATCATCTTTATGTTTTAAAAAATAACAATTACCACAAGTATAATAATAAGAATTTATTTTAAGTCACTTAAAAATGAGCACGTTCACCACCATACTACATACGCACATTGTTTTGATACTATAATAATAATCCAAAAAACCTAAAAATATGCCCAATTAGTTTTTTCCAGCTGCCAAAATGTCACCTAAATACATGAAAAAATAACAGTCTCAACTTATAGTGAGTCAAGCTATTATAATAATTAGTATTTTGACAGGGTCTGAATAAAATCTGTCAACAATTCGCTTTAGATTTCAAAAGATGTATTTTCGTTTGTTTTTTTTCTGGGCTATACGATGATATCATAAAGCAAATGTGCTGCCTGCCAATTGTGTTCCCCAAAGTTGCAGCATCAAATTGACTAATCGCCTTTTGCCATAAACATAAGAAACTTGTGCCACAATGGCCAAAAGATCAATGCCAAGCCAATTAATTTTCGTAGTGGACAATCAAAGTGACGCCAACGCACCACTAGAACTAAAAAAATATTTAAGAAAACAAAACATTATATAGAAAATCTTACACAGCAATGGACCAAATCAAAAAGAAAATATATTGAAAAACATGTTAAGGAAAAAGTGCGAGTTGGTATTTACTTGGTTAGAAACTAATATTTTTTAAACTTTTTCTGATAAAATCGAAAGTGTTTACTTTCTAAAAATAATCCAAAACATAATGGATGAAATTCAATTTACTAAGGTTACTTAGGGTCGCAATGCTGGGAACAAATATAGATTTCTTTGATTGCTTTTTTTTGAGAAATAATAAGAATAAGCTCTTTTTGTGATAGAGCATGAATTACTTGCAATTATGATTTATAGGGGCATATGGTTCCACATGGCTGATCCGATCACCTTTTCCGCTTTGCTTTCATCTTCAATCAATCGTAAAAATAGAAAATTCTTCTCAATTGCAATATGCTTGAGTAAATAGTTCGATCATGTATACTCAATTATTTGTTAGAGTATTGAAAGTGTTGAGTTTAGCTTATATGCAAATATATGTTGCTATGTATGCGTTATAAAATTTTGCAAAATACTAAAATAGCAAAACCCTCCGAACGTGTCAAATTCCAAAACGGAAATAGAAATAAACAAAACCAAAGCACACAAAATGAAGTCATACCACAGCAACAAAATCTATTAAACAAAATAAAATAAAAATCTAATGATTAACGGCAAACAACATCTGTTCACTGATTGTTATTAGTGATTTTAATCTTGGCTTGATAAGGGTGAACATTTTTTTAACTTCTTGAACCTGCCAAACATCTCACACAAAAATTCATAATAAAATTAAAAGTGAGCTATGTGAAGTCATCTACCGTAAAAAGCAAACAGCTTAAAATTCAATTCAAATTAATTTGCATTACCACTTTTGAGTTTGACAATATATACAGAATTAAGTTATTTTTTTTTTTTTGCCGCATGTTCACATTTGTTTTCATTTGGGGAACTCTTTTAAACTACCAGCACAGAAATGAAGTCATAGACCGAATTAATAAATTACCAAAACCAATTATAATCCAATTTGTATGATTCACAAAATATTTATGGTGATGGTACTTTTTTCAGTTCTTTGTAATTAGTGGTTAACCATTTTTTTTTTGAGGTAGAAGTACCTTCAAGATCTGCTGAAGGACGGGTGCTGCGAAAAGGATTCACTCTTCGGGGCTGAGAGTTCGGCAGCCATCGCTGCAGCCAACTGGGCGTATAATTCCGATACCAATAAGTCATTTCTGGCTTCCGGCTAATACGATTTGGTTAACAAAGAGTCCCGCTCTAAGCCACAATTTATGTGTTACGGTTAACACAAGAAACAGCACCGGTTAGAGCGACCAAAGAAGAACAAAACTAACGGAAACTGCGCTTCAAAGAATCTTTACAATTGGATCCGCTCGAAGAGCTTTCGACGTGAACTGCACACCACGACGCTTTGAACTTGACTGATCGGAAATTGCCTGCGCCAGATAGTTTCGACTGCCGTCTCTCTTGAAATCTCTCAGCTTCTCTCTGAGTTCTGGTGGGTCATTATTAATTATATACGGGAAGCCCAGCTTCATGGTAACTCTTCGATGGACCCGTTGTTGTTGTTGTGGTGCTGTTAGGCTTTTTCGAGCCACTACGTCATCGTTCATTGGCAAGACAAATCTTGATCAACATGGTCATTAAGTGAGCATCGAGTGCTCTCCAAAAATGATTCTATACGCAGAACCCATCATCAATTTGCATTGGCAATTTAAGGCTCGCTCTTGGTAATTATTTCATTGGCTGTTTATCATTAATTATTGTATAAATATCACATTTTTTTGGGGGGCACAAACTGCTGTGTAAGCTCTCTGTCAGTCAGCAGGTGTTTTTTGTTTTGTTTATTTTAATTCAAATTTCAAAATTGCAGGTATAAATGAGCAATTCGTGGGGCAAACTAAACTGTGGGCAGCACAACTATGAGTGTTTAACACCCACGGCAAACTAATTTGCATTCATAAAAGGCAATAACTATAGAACCGAATGCATAATTGTTCGAATCGGTGCCATACACTACAAAGTAAATCAATTTCACTGGTGAGTGAAACGAAAAGATCAAATCAAATTTAATGGTTGTATACTATAAAACAAATTAATTTGAAATACTACTGAAAAACATTGAAAGAGTGTGACACATTTTGGTATAATTTTTTAAAATAATATTACTCGTGATTTTATTGGTCGTTCAAAATAATTTTGTCTCTAGAAAGTGTAGAAATACTATTTTTAAGAATTCTAATTAGTACTATCTTTACGTCTTAAACAGACTAATTTTGAAATAGATAATGCTAGCCAAGTTTGGAAACATTAAAGCATGTTACCTCGTTACTGAATCTTAATTTGACATAGCATTTTTGGTGATATTGACTTGCCTGCTTCGTCGATTTTTGGCGCTCCTGCCAAATAGTTGGCATTAACATTGCGCATACGCAGCTTTGGCTCCACATTGCCTTTACGTTTGCACCATCCCCACTCATCACACTTTTTGCAACACGAAAGTTTCTGACCCATGTTTGAATTCGGACTACACCCAGGTTATTATTATTATCTGTTGGGCAAACCGGTTCGCCTGTCAATGATAAGCCGCACTTTGTTGATTCTCTGATGAATTTGTAGGAGTGGTTTTGGTATTTGAACTTCGTAATACTGTTGCTTCACTAGAACCCCACGTTTGCGCTGTCCCCAATTAACTGGCGTGTCATTTTTGGTTAAACTGCCCGAGGAATGCAAAAATCGAGACAGTTTAAACTGTAACAGCTGCGATCACGTCATCGCCGTCGCCGGAGGTGAGCCGAAGCGTACTTTAGCGCTCAAACATTCAAAAGATACTGATTAGGCTTGTTCGCCGACGAACCAATCGAATCGGGCATCTTCCCCGAAGTGTTCACATTTTACATACCATATGCCTGACCCCAGTGTCATCTACTCGATGGCCTCGGGTGTCCAAAAACCAGAGATGCGTGAGTAAATTGATCAGCTTTAGTGGCATCGAACACAAAATGGGACGGAGTGAATTATTATTGACTTTGATTGCTACTTTTTGCGGATTCACGTGGTTAAATAAGTTAACTGATTGGTTCCAGGTGTCGAGGATGCTGCAGGGGTGTGGCTGTCACTAAATCTTTCTGTCAACGCAAACTTCAATAACAGTGATATGCATAATGGTCAGATTCTTGGAAAGCACTCTGAAAAGAATGAACTATGAACATATGAATTTACATATAATTTTGAATCAGAATTTCTGGTAAATTAGTAGTATCACTTGTCGAAATAATATTTTCAACAATATTTCCTACAAAAATGTTAGAAAATTATGTTTATTACGTAAACAAAAAGTGTATTGGGCAATTGAGTTCGTGTTTTTGACAGTTGCTCTCGAGCGTGAGCTATCAACAATGTCTACAAATTTAAAGATATATAATATATGGTCATAAATGTATGAATGAATTATAATTCTTTAATATCAATTTTTTTTCTTCTGTGTGGAGCTTTTCTATAAAATGACTTCCTGACAACGCAAACTAAAAACTACAGCTTTGTGAGCAATGCTTAGTTACTTGGAAATTATTGATTACAAATATTTCAAAAAATCTTTAATTGATTATATATTCAAAATGCTACTGCTTTGAGTGATGATCAACTTAAGCTATAAATTTATTAAAAACATTTACGGAAACTTGGAGGATACTAAAGTCTTAAAAAAGTCTTTTTTTTTCATTTTTATTTTATCTCTACCGCGAATAACTTAAATTGTTTCCGAATACTTTTGTTTTAATATCTTTATTTTAACGATTAGATTTAAAGATAAATAGATATTAAAAATGCAATAAAAAAATAAAGTCTAGCGGAAACGAAACCAACAATTTTTAAAGCTGTCTAATAGCCAACAGTCGATAAGCACGCAAAAATGAGTAAAAATATTATCGAAAGATTAACGAAACTGATTAAGTTGACCTTGAAATTCAAAAGGTGTCCGTGTAAGAGTACAAATACATTGGATCTGTAACGTCAAAGTAAACTAAGAGAACCAGACCTAAAGAGATTTAATAATAACTGAATCTACAAAGTAAACTAAGAGAACCAGACCTAAAGAGATTTTATAATTACTTAAGGGGGCTGTTTTCAGAACGCATTGTTTCCCATGCTCAGTTACAAATTGCACTACAATGGAATTTACATTACTAGAAATTGCTCGCGATCAGTGGTCAGCGTTGAGAGATTTATATACCCACGACCGGACAAATCTAACGGGTTTCGATCTAATCAACTACTTTATAAGTTACAAGCCCTCATCTGATGCCGACTCAATCAAGATATATACAACTGATAAGAATTGGATCACACATGGCAGCTATATTCTTATCGTAAACAGTTATTTCAAAGTACAGTGAAGTCTAAAAATTATATGAGTTTTTTATTTCAGCATCAATTAGATAACAGGACCTATGTTTACCTGGTTATGTGGCTATGGAGAATATTTAAAGCCACTTGTTGAGCAATATTGGTTGAATCTCGGTCAAGGCTTGTGTAAACTAGAACATCTGGGCACTATTGTTTATCACCTGCCCAAATCCAAAGTCCCATGCTGGAAACCAAGGTGAAGTTAATATATACATATCTAATGGAATTTATTTTATTTAATTTATTTATTTAACTTAAAATCCCTACAGCTCAAATCTTTTGATTAACGTTGGTTATCTCAGTGCAAAGCATGCAGCCTTGGTCGATCAACACTGGGCTTATCGAACACCTGATTCTTTGCCCTGGATAAGGGGGCTTATAGAGAAAAATGCTTCTGCCGGTGTTTTTGATGCCCGCGGAGAACTTTTGGCTTGGTGTCTACGGTGATAAAAAATAACTGGTTTACCAAATGTGTTATATAACAACTCCCTCAATTTTTCAGGTCTCCCCATGGCAGCCTGTGCAACTTGCATGTGCTATCCTCGCATCGTCCGCAAGGATTGGGATCCTTGGCAGTGCTTTTTATGGCTAATGAAATAAAAAGCTTCGGCTCCGAAGTTCTAGCCACAGTTGTTTTTGATAATGAGAGCTCCAAGAAAATGTTTGAGAATTTGGGATTTAAGCCCATCAATAAGTTGTACTGGGCAGTAATGCCACCCCTTCATTAAATAATAATAAACAGCACCAAGAGGTTCTTATGAAAACGTCATAAAACTAGTTAATCAGTTTTCCCACTTATCAGGAAATGTAAATGTGTTAATAGTCGGTTTTAGTCAAACAACTGTTAGCACACAAGCGTTTCTTTATCTCTCTCTTCAAATAAAAATTTCTCTTAAAACCAGACCATATTACTCCCTGCTCAGTCTTAATTTTTAAGATCAGTCTGCGATCGGTTTTTATACGGAGAGGTAGTCGTCATGTCGGACGAGAATTCTTTGGTTGAGATTCCCCGCAGCGAGTGGACTAAGCTGCGCGATATGTATGTCCAGAATGATACCGATCCCCAAGGTTATCCGTGCATTAATAATTTCATCAAGTGGGTGGAAAAAGAGCCAGAACTGAAAGCTAAGTTCTTATCATTGAACGGTGACTGGGAGAAAGATGGAACCTTTGTGTTAACTGTAAGTTGTGCGATAAACATGTACTTTATATGTGCTATATAGTAATTACATATATCTATATTAAGGTGGACTTGGGAACTCAATTTAATCACATTTATTTCAACACTCTAAGCGATAATTTGGAACGTGCAACAAAAGCCCTAGAATGCTTAAACTCATTTGAGAATAAGTACGTCTTTTTTGGATTCTGTTCTCGCCTAAAACCTGTGGTTGAACATATTAGGCGGAAATTTTACACCACTAAAGAACTACAGATTGTGGAGACCTGTTGGTATAGTGCCAGCAAAGAACTCATAGATACTTTTACTATCGAGTGAGTTAATTTTTGTATGATTACTTTGCAATTTTATAAAGCCATTTCCTTGCAGGGTCCCTTCTGGCATAACTCTATTAAACTTGGCCCTCGAAGATGCTGAAACCATCAATGAAATCTGGCCGCATCGTGGACCCGACTCTATAAACTTTGTGAGAAGTTTAATTAAATATAATGTGTGTTTGGGGGCCTATGATGATAGCGGAAAGTTGGTTGCCTGGTGTTTGAGGTGAGCTATCAAAATATATTTACCTATTATATTCTGTTTATAATATTACATTATTTTGTTTCCCTTTAAGATTGCCTATTGGAGGCTTGGGTCTGTTGCAAGTTTTGGAATCACACAAACGTTTGGGCCTGGGCAGCTTACTGGTGAAAGCAATGGCCAAAAAGATTTCCGCACTAGGAGATCAAGTTATGGCACCAGTAGTTACCAAAAACATTGCCTCGAGGAACATGTTTGAGAAAATTGGCTTTCGTTCTATAGATATAACCTATTGGGCTGAATAAAAATAATGAACCAAAAAGGAAAAACATCTAATGGAGAATAAAAACGGATATCTTTAAATTAAACAAAGAAATTAAATAAACACTGTCAACGTGTTAAACGTGTAAAAAGTGAGATCTAATATCATAAGACATCTAAAGGAGAAAAAACCAATTACTCAAAATTAAATAAATATATTCAATAAACGCTGTGAACATTATTAAACATGTTAATATAGTTTTTGTTATCAAAAACCAAATGGAAATGCTTGGTCTAAAACTAAAAACTTTCCAGTCAGCTAAATTCCCGTAAACGTATTCCAAAGATTCGGACATTCAAGCTTTTGTAACAAAATGTAGGTCAATAGTAAATTATATATAATTTGTTGACTATTTAAAAGCAGCGAGTTACTTTGTTAGAGAATAAAGATTCAAATAATTCATTTTCCAATAAATTGAATAGTACACATTTAATTATGGGTAGCTGCTTAGTCACCATACAGTTTATCGAGTTACAGATTTATTTGGTTATTAATAGTTTTATACTGAGAATCGCGTGACATTTGTAACGTAACATTTCCTAGCCTATTTATTACCTTACAAGGCTTACATTTAATTTGGTATTATTGATAAACAAAGAAGTTTTAATCGTTCTGTAAAATTATTATCTATTTGGATCTCGTATGGGAAAACACTTTAAAATATATTCATAAATAGTAATGGGATTGGCTAATATTAATATATTTTAAAATGGCTTTATCTGACTACTAGAACTAAGTGACACTTGCTGGAACTACAAACCCAAAAATTTTCAATATTAAGCATCGTGATCTTCAAATATTTCTGATTTTTGAGGGTGTTATTCACCTTTCTTTTGTACTTAAAAATTATAGTCACGTTTACATTTTTATACTTGCCGAATCGTGTGATACAATCTTTCTTTGTTTTCAAGTTGTTAAAACCTTCCGACGCGAGTTTCCGGATGGCGTTTGATTATTGATGATCACTGGCTTTTTGCTAAATATCAGATTGTGAGAAAGGTGTGCTCAAGTTTTTTTTAATCCTCATTAACCCAAAAATTTTCCTTAGCACATCTGAAATAAGAGTTTTATATTCACTTTTTAAGATTCTAGTCAGCTTTCGCGTAAATTTAAATTTTAACACTTTGAAATGTTCTCTATGCATTTTTCAAAAACCAAATTACTTATTTTTCCCAAGTTGCTTATAATGCAAGTCAGGCATTTTTTTAAGTTAGTACATTGACGTGCAGAGGCTTTTTCTGTCGTCATTAAAACTCATTAGCATTCAGTTCTTATGGACCAGCATCGTTCATCTTATCCTAGCTCTGGGAGATCCCCAAGCTTTATCACAATGTCAAACTTTCCAATGACAAGCTCGAGAATACGCATCTAACATAATTCTATAGTATAGCTACACTGATGCAAAAATGGCATAGTAAAAATAAATGGCTATTGAATTCCAAATTTTATACTTTATATTGCAATGAAATATGAATTCTATAATTTTAAGTACAATGCGAATTAAATTGCACGACTTAATATTAAATACTATAATTAATATTGAACATATTAGGTTTAAAAAAGTTCCTGTTTGATTTAAATTTATTTTATTTAATCTACATTTAAATAAAACTTTCAGATTTTACAATCAATTCCGAAAATAAAACCGCAATGGATGAAAGTCAAAAGGAAAGTATTTAAATTGAGTACAAAATATTAGGATTTACTACGTTTCTTTTTTACTAGTGTAAGAAATATTTAAAATATTTACTCACCCATTGCGAGAGAGAAGAGCCGGGTAAATTTTATTATGTTCGTCACGGCTCTAACGTTTTAAACAAACAGACAGGGAAAAAGAGAGAGAGAGCGAGATCGAATGGATTTCCGCCACACATTTCATAGAATATTGAATGGGGGGCAGTACATGAATGCAGAAAGTACCGATCATTGAAAATCAATAACAAGTGCAGAGATACGTCCATGTAAACAAACTTGGGGTATAACCAGTGATTCGTCAGCGAAAAAGCTCTCCAAGATCAGCTGGGTATGAAGAGCGCTTGAAGGAGTGTGTGCTTGGCTTGATAACGAGTTTGCGATTCCAGTTTTTTTTATAAAGATGCGCGCTGAGCGACAGAACCTCAGTACGGCTTTAACAACTCAAACGGTCACATCCACACCGCGTTTAAGCCTTAGCTAAAAAATATATACATACATATATTAATATCTATATATAGTTGGTTCTGTGTGTGTTCAAGATTAAAATTCGATTGTTACAAAATGTGGCGCTTGCTAGTAGCTCTTGGGATGATAAGTGCGGTGTGCTGTGAGTCGGATCTTTTTCGGGATGACATCAGGACCGCCCAAGCGATGGCCTATATAGAACAAATTAGGCAACAACAGGCACAGGCACAGGCACAGTCACAGACACAGTCACAGCCACCGCAATATATCATGCCGGTTCCATTGCCGACTCTGTCACCAATGCGACCATTGCAACCTTTGCCGCCCCTGCAATCGCCCGGCCTTGTGAATGGCCTTGCCACCCAAAAACCAGGAAGTTTCGTCAAGTCGTCGCTTCCGGCTGCCTATTCCAACCGCGTGGACCAGGCCACTTCCGATCAGATCGCGCTAAGTGTGCTACGTTTTGCCAATACTTTGGTTCAGCACTTGGGCTACAGTAAGACGGAGATCTTCTCTCCCTTGAGTATTGTCCACTCGCTGGCCTTACTATTGCTGGGTGCCAAGGGTCGCAGCTACGAGGAGCTGTCCAGTGTCTTTGGAATCGCCGACACAGCGAAGCTGCACGAACAATTCGGTTTGATGCTAAGGGACTTGCAACAGCCCACCTTGGAGACCATTTCACCAGGACGAGCAGTCACAAATTGGCGAGTCAACAGCCCGATGAGAACGAACCGACGGGCCCAGCGACCGGGAGCCCATGAGGTGCACCTGGCCAACGGTATATTCACACAGACCGGCTACTCACTCAACCCCGACTACAGGTGAGTCTCGCTGCGGATAATTGACTGCAAACTGGATCTAAAGCGAGATCAGGTTGGGGATGGGCGCTGGGAAATGCCAGACGATTAACGATCGCCTTGAGGTCTTACACGGAGAAAAAAGTCAAAGCTTTCTGCTATGATATAATATCCTTTCGTTGAAACCTCATTTTGATATTCAGGCGAATAGGTGTTTCATAAGATGAGCTCATCCATTTATACACTAAATTAAAGAGTTTCTCAAGTCAATTGGTGACTTAGCGAAATAGAATTATGAGTTAAGAAACCTATTCACTTTCAGTGTAGGGGTAAAACAAATCACTGTTGCTGTTAAGTAATGAGGAATTATAATTTCACACTTTTTGATGAGCCTTCTAAGCCCAAACTTTCATTGAGAAAAATATACTACTTTAACAGAATTCCCCAGTGGCATTATAGGTGCGGAAAGATTGAGAAAATAAAGAGAGAAAGGTTAATAAGATCAGTATAAGGCTAATTAGCCGGGGAACAGAAATGGAATGACAGATTTGTAACCAAGATAGTCCGCTCATTATACAAAACATGCCGGAATTGACATTGAAATTTTAAAATCACAGAGCTCGGCTATCAGCTAAAAAATGACGTTTTCTAAAAATATAATTTATTTTCAAAATATTTTATTAACAAAATACACTGATAAGAGGGTTTTTTGTTTTGGAAGGCAAAGTAAATCAATACAAAGGACTTTAGAAAGTTTGTTTCACTGAAATAACTTACGCTCCATTATAATAATCTTGCTCCACTTTAAGCAACGATGTTTGCATACCTAATAGGTAACGCCTTGTAGATTGATAACTTATTTGCTCTACTTTTTTTGTGCATTTGCAGACGAGTGATCGCAGAGGTCTACGGCTCGGAACTGCAGGTTCAGGACTTCATGGGCAATCCAGCGACGGCGCGTTACAACATCAACCATTGGGTGGCTCAGCACACGAATAACCTCATCCAGGGCATCATTACCAGAGATATTCCGCCAGACACGAGGATGATTCTGGCCAACGCGCTGTACTTCAAGGGATTCTGGGAGACGGACTTTATAGAGTCGGCCACCAGGCCCGACAACTTCTATCCGAACGGAGAGGGATCTGAGCCGGTGGTAAGGGTGCAGATGATGGCCACTGGTGGCACATTTCCCTACCACGAGGACCACGAGATGGGCTGCAAGATCATTGGATTGCCCTACAGGGGCAACCTGAGCACCATGTATGTCATCCAGCCTCTAAAGTCGTCGGCGCTGGAACTTATGGCGCTCCAGAAACGATTGTCAGGCGAAAGGATCGAATACATGATCACCCAGATGTACAGACGATCCGCCCTGGTGGCATTCCCAAAGATGCACCTCACCGAGACGTTTAATCTGAAGACAATCATGCAGAATATGGGACTGGGTGGTGTCTTCAGCAGCGTGCAGAACGATCTCTCGTTGATCGGCACAAACGAGGTGGCCAGGACGAGTTCGCTGGGCGGCAACAGCCTGCAGAATCTGGAGGCCCAGCGTAGAGCCGGATTGGGAGGAGCTCGATCCGACTTGGAGGTGGACGAGATTGCCCACAAGGTGGACTTCACTGTGAATGAGCAGGGAACGGAGGCGGCGGCGTCGACGGTGATGTACCTAAAGAAATCCGGCCCAGATGTCGTCTTCCGAGGAGACACTCCATTCATGGTGCTACTGCGACACGATCCCACAAAACTGGTGCTATTTTATGGCATCATAAATGAGCCCCCAGCGGCTGCCTAATCACAAGGATCTTAAACTATTAAACTTTAGTACCTAGTTCGTTAACTTGTTAGTTAGGAAGCCAATAAATCATTCTAAATGATTCAAAAAAATAAATTAAAAGCTAATATAGTAAAACAAGACATGAAATTTCGTTTATTTATGGTTTAACTGACCTTACATGGAGAATGGAATAATATAACTTTTAAAATAAAGATAAATTAGGTTTTGGTTCATTTTGTCTGCAATGAATACACAGTGTTACATAATTCAGTTTGAAGTGACTATTAAATTTATTTAAGAATGGTTTGGGAAACTTACCTGGTGTTTAACAGCTTTAAATTTTTACAACAATTTTACAATTATAAAAATTTTTTAAATTAGCATACTTCATTTTTTACTGTGTTTCATATAATTCGAGCTGACCCTGCGAACTTTTTTAGTTTTTTATGAATGGTTTGTTTATTAATACTTATATATTTTATTTCGTCTCTCAATTGAACAAGCAGGAAATTCTTTATAATGTTAGCCTATAATTTTAACTTAGTGCTCATTTACATGGATTGATTTTATCGTATTGTATTGTTTTCAATTTATTGTTGATAACTAATTTATATTGTGGCAATAACATCTTTAACTTCATGTCCTCATAATCTTTTAATTTTAAATATACAATTGCTCAATGATATGGGCTACTGTTAACCGTTTATGTTAGCCAAACGGTTATGCTAACCAATCGGCTGCGCCTCTGTTAAACCAAACAGCTGTTTATCCTCGCAAACTTTCCAACACTGTTTTAAGCTGGCGCCGTCTTGGAAATTGGTTTCCCCAAAAAAGTTAAATTTTAAAGTAAATAAGGCTATAGATTAAATCAAATTCCAATCGAGATGATCTCCCTACCCGACACAGATAGCGAGGATGAGCTGCCACCCGGATGGGAGGAGCGGGCCACCGATGACGGAACTGTTTGTTATGTGAAGTAAGCCAAGGGTCAAGTGGAGTCATAAACAAAAGCTAATAAAACCATATTTTCCCATTAGTCAGCAGGCTAAAACGTCGCAGTGGACACATCCGCGGACGGGACGCTCCAAGCGGATTACTGGGGAACTGCCATTGGGTTGGGAGAAGTACTACGATGAGCAGGGAAAGCGTTTCATGTTTATCAACAAAGAGACGCAGCAGCGAACCAATGTCGATCCCCGTTTGGCCTTCGCCGTGGAGGAGCCCACCCAAAACGTGGCCCAGGTGCGCCAGAGATTCGACTCCTGCACGACGGCCCTTCAGGTGCTGCACGGCAAGGATTTGCACGGACGCACGGCCCTGATTACGGGTGCAAATTGTGGCATAGGCTTTGAGACGGCTCGCTCACTGGCCCAACACGGCTGTGAAATCATCTTCGCCTGCCGAAACAGGACGTCCACGGAGGCGGCCATTGACAGGATTTCCCAGGAACGACCGGCTGCCCGTGCCCGCTGCCGTTTCGCAGCCCTTGACCTCAGCTCCTTGCGTTCAGTTCAGCGATTTGTCAATGAAATCAAACAGACCGTGAGGTTAGCTACTATTCATATTAATCCCAAAATCCACTTTCTAATTTGATTTTTCTATATTAATTTAAGCCACATTGATTATCTAATTCTGAACGCTGGCGTATTTGCACTGCCCCACACAAAAACAGAGGATGGTCTAGAAACCACATTCCAGGTCTCACACCTGTCGCATTTCTACTTGACTTTGCAACTGGAGACTCTTTTTGATTACAAAACACGGATTGTTGTGCTGTCATCCGAATCGCACAGGTAAATCGCAATTTATACACTTTAGCACGTAAATTGATAGAGGGGAATATGTTACAACGGTTATAGAATGTTTGAATACATACATATAATCTTACTTTTAGTCCATATCGACCATTTCGGCAGAAATATTTACTTTACATTTTTTAAAAGCCATAAAGTAGATAAAAACTTTAGATTAACTGCAAAGATAAAAGTTGTATTTTTATTTATTTTTTAGTATTTTTATTCGTTTCACAACCATTAACTCCAACACTTTTTCACTCCTTTTTTTTTTTGTTCAAAAAGTATTTGAAATTAAAAACTTATTGTCTGCTTTTGAATTATAACTATATTATATAAATAACTTTAAACGATTAATTTAATCCGGTTAAGTTAGACGTCTTTGATCACTTACATTTTTTTTATTGCTGGTACTGTAAATCTGGTTTCACAGTTTGAGCTTTTTTTTACCTCAATCTTTTGCCATTCATGCAACCCGTTTTTTACAATATGAAAAAGGGGATTTTAATTAATTGAATTTGAATTTGGGACATGTCATATTCCATATTTAATTTTATTTATGAGATAATTGAGGGAAGGTGATTAGAAATTTGGATTTTAAAATCCAACTTAATCAATGTCCAAAGTGCGACTCATTAAACAGTTTTGGTCACATCAAAGCCAAAATAAATAAACAATAACTTTAAAATTTTCCCAAAAAGTTTAGTATCATAGTGGATACATTCTAGTCGACACAATTTATACTTGAATATGTGTCTGGCATTCCAAGTTGTCTTCTTTTATTTTTGCAAGTTGACTGCACTTTTGTGAATCCACAATGTGGACTTTGGACCGACCGGTTTCTATTCGCGCTTTGGGGCCAAACTATTCATAGCCCAGGCCAGAAATAAATATGTATATTCCGCCTCAGCCGGCATGGCTAGTGTAGCGTTTTCCAAAATGTGTTTTTGCTTGCCCACATCTCGAGTTTTGTTTACAATAGATGTTTTCGGTTTGGTCCGATTTCAAGGCAAAACGTTATTAAACTTAGCTTGGAAGATATTATTTGTTCCCAGCCATTGCATTACATTTTGAGCTGCGCACTCGCAAGCAAACAAAGACCGAAAGAAAAATAATTACGACTCTGACGCAGCTGTGATTGTATTATCAAAACCATAACCACTTCCCCAGTCTACCCGTTCCCCTCTCTGGTTTGTACATAAAAGCAATATGATCACCCTCACGTGCAGATCCCAGCACAGTGGAATGAAAAGCGTTCCATAGTTCTAAAAATCTTTTTTTCAAGAAAGCAACTAAACACATTAATAATTACGACTTTCAGTCTATCAAAATACATACATTTTAAAACTGTGTTTAGAATATTTTTTTTATCTTGAAATAAAGTTTTTTAATATAAAAAAAAAGTCTTATAAAAGATATCTGATTTTAACAAAATTATTAAAGAACATTTATTTTTAAAATTCTGCACATAAAGTTACTATGTCAATTGGTTTGCAAATTTCCGAAAGAAAGGCCACTTCCGAAGATTCTGCTGGTAAAAATAGTCACCCCTAGTCAATTCCCCTAATCAGCGCTAACTCGCTTAATTAGATTGATTAATTTAGGAACCCTAAACCCACTGTGCAAGCTGCCACTTAACAAATAAATCATTGGTGAACGAATCTCGTGAAGCAACGCATGAAGCATAAGATGAAATTAAACTGAAGTGGTGGATGTACCTAGTTGTTATTGGAGGTGGTTTTGTATCTGGTGCGTTCGTTGCTTTGCGCACGTACAACATTTTTGGTTTGGTATCTCAGCCGGGGCAAACGTGCAACAAAAGTCTCGTGCGCCGTTTGGAGTACTCGCAGATAGTCATGTATGCCACCAAAAGCGCTCCGATATGATGAATTACGTTCGGTTCCTATTGGGGTCAATGCGAGGCTATCAGAGAAGTCGGTGCTAACTGATAGTCACTTTCGAATGGCACACAAACAAATTGGTTGTTTGTGCAATTGAAATTCTTTTCACATCAAACTGCAGAAATGATTAATTTACTTAAATGTATTCTGTGATGCACAGAAGAAAAATAACTTATCTAGATATAAAATATGTTTTTAAATGTTTGTAAAATAAAATTAATTTCTTCTTACCACCACTGCTAACTAAAAATCACAGTGAAAGGGTAAACAAACAAATTATCGTTTTAGCAATTTAAATGATTTTCATCAGCCATAATTTGCTGATTCAATATATTCATCCAGACCAAATAAAGAACACTAACTTGCTTAGCCAGTACCTACCACAACAAGAAAGAACAGCGACAACGGGTTATATTTATTATGGACGCCGTGTACGGTCCATAGCTTATAAATAAATAAGAATTTGCATACATTTTGCGACGTTATATTTACATCGCCCCCAAGCCGAGCGCAGAGACTCAATAAAATGAAAACAAATCCAAAGTCCAAAATGTGCGCAGATAAATGTGTTGTAGATAGAAAATGTTTTCATGTTGCGGCTTTATTTTTGCGGGGTGTATGCGACCTGCGCATGCGCTACTCTTTGAAAATGTTGGAGCTTCCCCCGTAAAATGGGGGAGAATAGTGGGTTCATCATAGAGTTCAATATTCATATCCGAGTGTCCTTGTTTATTGTGTGGCTTTGTTTCGCCAGCCACTTGTTGTCGCCATTGTCCGTGGGTCTATTAGTCACTATTCAGTGCCCTGCACTCGCACTCGCACTTGCACTCTGTTGATTCTGTTTATGCCCTCTGCATCTCATTAACAAAGAGCGTTTTCGAAGCCGGCTATGCCAGCAGATATGCCAATCAAGACTCGTTTTGCGATTGTCGGCCGGCGAGGGCAAAGTCCAGTGGGTTTAGCTGGACGAAGAATGTGTATGTTGCTCCTCGAGTGGGACTGACAAGGAAATGCGTCGTAAGCAATCTACAATACTAGCCCCTTCCCTCCTTGCAGATTCGCCAATCTGCCCGTGGAGAATCTGGCGGTGCATCATCTTTCTCCGCCACCCGAGAAATACTGGAGCATGATGGCGTACAACAATGCCAAGCTGTGCAATGTTTTGTTCGCCCAGGAACTCGCCCAGGTGAGTCATGCCCCAAAATGCGATTTAAACCGGGTCAATTAGATGCAATTTGTTAACCTTTTTCTGCAGCGCTGGAAGCAGCGAGGAATTTCCGTCTTCAGTGTGCATCCGGGCAATATGGTATCCACCGATTTGTCGCGAAACTATTGGTTTTACCGGCTCCTCTTTGCAATAGTGCGTCCCTTTACCAAGTCTTTGGTGGGTTGAAGAAAGTATATTTATTTGAGCAACTTTTACGACTTATTTTCATCTACTCAATATTAGCAACAAGCTGCTGCCACAAGTATTTACTGTGCCACAGCCAACGAGCTGACGGGGTTGTCCGGACTGTACTTCAACAACTGCTTCTTCTGTGAACCCAGTAAATTGTCTAAAAGTACTTCACTGCAGCAGCAACTTTGGCAACTGAGTGAGAACTTGATTTCCGAGCTTCTGCAGGAGGAACAGCATTAACCATACTCTTGTTTAGCTTTTAATATATTTATACACTATATACAAATACAAGAGCTAACCGGTGCATTTATGGCCTTTATAATCATTAAAATGTAATACAAAATTAGAATCTTTTAAATAAAAGAAGGGAGAAACTGGTGAAATCAATTTAAATTGCAAGCTATATGTATTTAAATTGAGATACCAGAAAATGGGGACAAAAAATCTTCAAGGGGATATGAAAATTAATTCAATGGATTTTCAATTATGAATATTATTAATGTTGCATTTCTGAAATAGATTCATTTTTTTTTTGGTTTTAGAGACGGCCAAATAAGTACAACGCAATTATCTTTTTTAACTTTAAAAATATGATGTATTTTTTTTTACACTATATAATAAGTAGTATTCCACGAGTATACATTTATGTTTTGTTTGATTTTTCAAGTCTTAAATGGTAGATTTTTAAATAACAGCCTAGGTACTAGCTAAGGAACTCTTTGGGGACTAGAAGTCGGAGACGCGACCCTTGCGCTCCCAATCGCCGTAACGCGTGGGTTCCGGTCCGGCGGGTCCGCCGATCTCGCCCGTATACGGATTGGTCTGGTTGGGCCAGGGCTTGAGGGGCTCCTGCTCCTGGTAGGGATGGCGCGAGAACTCGTCCAGCTTGCCCAGCGGCGTCTTGGCGCGCAGCTTCTTTTGGAAGGCCATCAGCTTCTCGGTTCGGGTCTTCGGCTCTTTGATCTCCACCACCATGTCGCCACCGCCTGCGGCTGCTGACCTCCAGGCTCCACTGGTCGAGAGATAGCTTACTGGTAAATCGGAAATAGATCGTTAGGATCAGCACTGCACAGTGGACACTGGCTAAAGCTAAAGCTTAAGCTAAAGCACACACACAACACACCTTGCTTGCCCATCTGAGGAAGGGCTCGCGCCGTTTGTCTGGCCATGGATTGCATTTTGTTTGGATTTGCGTTTTATCAGTTATGCAAGATGCCGGCAACTATTCGAGTCTTTAACTTATAGTTCGCAGTTGTTCACTTGAAAGTTTCACTGTCGCTTTGCAGTTATTGTCACTCGCTTGGTTGTGCACGTCTGAATTGAAATAGGAGGTTGGGTATTGCTTTTATAGCCCGCGATTCGCCGCTGCTTCGTTCTTTTATTTATTTTTTTTGGTAGAAGATCAGCTGACTCTGAAAATGTACTAAATATGGCACACGGACAAGCGGTGACACCAACCTAGGTGTAAGACTTTGATAGTTAATTAGTTTGGACTGCAACCATAGACGGTCTGGCAACGATAAGCGTTAAACACAAAAGAATGTAGGTTTATAGAATAAATTCATTTATTAAAATTATTATTGTTATTTCTTTACTGTTTATAAGTTTGTGAAAGTGCTTGGAATTAATAAACAATTGTTGGCTCTTAAGTTATTGCTGGACTTGGAATGCCCCACTGTATGCGTTTTCCTTCCAATTAACGGTAACATTGATATTTCAATTGGTTGGTTTTTCCAGATGGAAGTTAATGGTGTGCGCCATGGGTCGGTATTTCTTGACAAGCCTCTATGCGGTACTACTAAAACGCGTTAGGGTATTCTCCATACTCGTTCCGCGAATAGAGAAACGAAAAAAAAAATAGTAAACAACTTTTATTGGAGGGAAAAAAGATAATAAGCCAATTGCTTAGAAGAATCAGTCACCAGGCCCGAAACAAAGAAGCACATAGCCGGTCGCCGACGACAGTTAACCTAACCTCTGATCCGTAACACCGTATATGCCCAGCAGATACAGTCGGCTAAAATGAGCGTGGAGGAGGAAGTATTTCGGATCCAGAAGAAGATGTTAAAGATATCGACGTCCAGCGATGGCTCGGTGAGTGGTCCTCGTTAAAAGACTTTTATTACATTTGTAACAAGAGTATTCCTTATATAGGGACAGGAACAGGCATTGGACCTGCTGAAGGCCCTGCAAACGCTGAACATCAACCTGGAAATCCTGACCAAGACGCGAATTGGCATGACGGTGAATGAACTGCGCAAGAGCAGCAAGGACGATGAGGTGATTGCCCTGGCCAAGACCCTGATCAAGAACTGGAAGCGCTTCCTGGCCAGCCCGGCGCCCACAACGCCCAACCACAGCTCCTCCAAGGAGGGCGCCTCCAACAACAGCAGTGTCTCCAAGTCCTCGAGCGCCGCCAAGTCTTCTTCGTCCTCCTCCAGCAAGGACAAGTCCAATAGCAGCGGCAGCAGCTCTTCAAAGGACAAGGAGAAGAAGGCCTCCTCATCCTCACAGTCATCTTTCCCCTCCGGCGGCATGACGGATGCCGTGCGCATCAAGTGCCGTGAAATGCTGGCCGCCGCTTTGAAGATTGGCGAAGTGCCCGAAGGATGTGGGGAGCCGGAGGAAATGGCCGCCGAACTGGAGGATGCCATCTACTCGGAGTTCAAGAACACGGACATGAAGTACAAGAATCGCATTAGGTCGCGCGTGGCCAACCTCAAGGATCCGAAGAACCCCGGACTTCGCGGTAACTTCATGTGCGGCGCCGTCACTGCCAAGCAGCTGGCCAAAATGACACCGGAGGAGATGGCCAGCGATGAGATGAAGAAGCTTCGCGAAAAGTTCGTCAAGGAGGCCATCAACGATGCCCAGCTGGCCACCGTGCAGGGCACCAAGACCGATCTCCTCAAGTGCGCCAAGTGCAAGAAGCGCAACTGCACCTACAACCAGCTGCAGACCCGTTCCGCTGATGAACCGATGACCACCTTTGTCATGTGCAACGAGTGCGGCAACCGATGGAAGTTCTGCTAACTCCCATATCAGTTCCAATAAACACTCCCAAAACACCGCACACACATCCTTCATATTCTTATAAACATTGTAAAGACACGACGTGAGAAAATCGGAGAAATTTTGTATCTGCTGCCCACACGTGGAGGCGCTTACTCTGACCACCTAAACGAAAAGAAAATAAATTTCAATAAACATTAACTATTGATAAAACGTAGACGCCTTGCCGCCGCAATCAGTTTTCTGCCTGTTCAAATGCCGGTGATAACACCCATGCCGCTGATAACGTCAATACTTTCGTATTGACAATCTGAACGTTTTTCTTTTTCCAAGAATATCGAAGTTTTTATAAAACAAAGGAAAACTAAAATTAAAAAAATCAGTATTTTAAAATATGTAATAAAAATTACATATATGTATGTGTAAGAATTTTTGTTTTATATTTTTAAATGATGGAGCTCTTTTAAAAGCGAAAAGTCAAAATTGTATTAATTTTCAAGAGGATGGCCATAAACAAGTTTCAAACAATAATATGTATGTTTTATTTGAAATTAAATTTAATCCATATGTGAACTATTACAAAACAAGATTATTGTATAAAAGAAAGAAACAAATTATTTATAGTTATATACATATAAGTTATCTGCATCGTTGTGAGTATTATAATATTTTCTCCCCATAGTTAGTCCACATCAATATCAAAGTAGACGGATACAGTGGAAACCCAATGATTAATGCCATCGTCCATTTCGACTGTTAGCATATAGGTTCCTTTTGGTAATGGAACCTTCGAAAACATCCTATCGTTCAAGATGCAGTTCCTGATATAAACATCATTCTAAGAGGATTGCAATAATTTAATTTGATAAAAGAAAATTATAATTTATATGCTACTCACATTGTATGGGCAGGTATGATTAAGGTTGGAATAGGGCGAAATTGCGTTGTAAAAGTAGAATAACACATCCAGGCGGTTCGGATACTTCAAAGCATGACAGAGGTCCTTGGAAACATTAAATAGGAACGGGTGGTAGCCGCTGAGCTTTCGATAAGCGTTAAATCTTATGACCATCCTATTAATTGGTAATTTCAGAAACTTTAAATGGATGTTTGCACCGATAACTCCCCTGCCAAGCACTTTTAGTCGGCATTCGGGGAATTCTATAAAAGATTTATCCAAGATATCACACTTGAGATTCGTTAGGCGCACATATCCGTGGGATTTTCCAATAAGGAAAACGTAGACCAATAGAAGAAACTTCATCGCTGCTATTACCCGGGATGCACTGAATAATTTGTTGCATTGTTTGCCGATTTTAGCCGAATGTTATTACCCTAATTAGACTTTAAACTAAAATTGATTCGATTGGAGTAATTACTAAAATAAAAACAAAGCAAAAACAGAAACGAATGTACTTAACTCTGATTAAGATAAAATGTATAAACAAATTTTCACATTAAAAAAAATGTAAAAAACAAGCTTTTTTCTTGTTCATATGGTTAATTGTTTCTAAAAACGATTCAACACTCAATATTTGAATATGGAATTTATTGACTGTATTTAACGGTATTTTAATGTTGTGATTGTTCCATAATCAGGTATACAAAATGCATGGATTCTGAAATAAAAAAATTGATCGCAGGTCTGGGGCTTTGGAAGTTTATCCATGAAGTTTATCCTATCATAATTAACCAATAATCAAACAATATTTTTCAAATCGGTAAGCATCGGTAATATTTATTTTAGTAACGTTTTCTTAACAGAAAAGTTAAGTGAGGAGGCAGCGCTGCGGCAGAGGGAATGCAGAGTAGAGATGGTAAACATCGATATTTCAAACATCGATATCACCGATATTTAGAAAAACATCGATGACATCGGTGTTGGCATCGATGTTTCTCCACCTTTAATCAATTACTATCCACCTCTAGACGATCGTTGTTTCGAAGTTTGCTCCGCGGTTGGCGTATTTGTATTCGGTTCTTTTTCGCTGCAAGTTCAAATTAACTCGGCCAATAAACAAGTGCAATAAGGCCCGAAAATGCCAAACAGTCTGTAGCGCCTAATTAACCTGTTGCTCGGTCGACTTGTGCTGGAAAAGCTTACTAAACAATCGGCGCGCTGCACTTTTCCTGCGGTTGTCGGTGCGTGACCTATTTATGTAACCTGTTTTTAAAAAAGAATATCCCGCTTTCGACTGGTCCAAAAAGTGTTAATTAAACCGCAATACGAGACCTACAGTTCAGTTCCAAAAAGAGAAGAGTGCAAATTCTGAGGCAACAATTAAGGTAGAGAGTGATTGGAAAGAAAGAGTGCATTAACCCTGCAAGTCGGTGTGTGTAACTGTGAGTTAGTGAGTGTTAGAGCTAGAAAAGCCAGCCAGAGAAAATGACAAGGGTCACAGCTTCAGCTCAGCATCATCATCAGCGTGATTTTTAGTATCATCGATTTTATTATTTTAGTCGAGACGAAGACGTGGCTGCATTGCATTTTTATTGCTTTAACCGACAACCAAATTAAATAGCTACGCTTCAGGTTTCGTTGGCTAGAACGGTACTAACATGCACACACTACCAACGCAGACCCACTCTCTCGCGCACACATACAAACTCGGAAGTGGACAGGTACACCTGCCGAAGAGCAGAAGAGCGAGCGAGAGGGAGATATGCGTTAAGAGCGGCTCACAGTGCAACACATTCATGTTTATGGGTGCCCCGTTCCCTCCGCTCTGCCCCACACCCTTCCCTTTCCCACCCGCTTGCGCCAGCGCTCTCTCTCTCTTTCTCCTTGAGCTTGAACCAGGGTTCTACACAGAAAAAAAAGATCAATACAACTTCATTAACAAAAAAAACTACAAAATAAAAATAAAAATTGCTCATGAAAGTTTTCTACTGAAATTTCAGTCTTTGATGCCAGAAAAAAAAAAACAAAAAAAGGTAAAAGCTTCCTTATGTCAAGAAAGAGCTTAACATTTTTCATTTTGATAAGTAAGCAGAACAATTTTTTTTGTTTATTTTGAATAATCTGTCTGCTTTTCAACTTTAATGAATAAACATGTTACTTCAAAAAACTGGTATCCGGATAGTTAAATTTTTTCTAATTGATCTTACTTAAATTTGATGTATCACATCGATTTTATTTCTTGTGCAGCGGTCAAGAGTTCTCGAATTGACAATAGCAACAACCGCAACGCAGACACACTTGTTTGTCCGGTTTGTTGTTTTTGCTGTTGCACAACGGGACATTTCGTGTGTGGACAATTGGAAAAACCCTTTTTCAAATAAACGCTTTTCATTAGCCGGTTTTTGTTTCTCCTCTCCCATCTCAACCTTTTTTTGCGTTTCCATTTGGGTTGTTGGGTTCCATTAATGCGGTGTTGCTGTTGTTTTTGTTGCTGGGGGCTTTCGCGCACGCAGCGACTTTCTGTTTGTTTGGTGAAACTTTTTTAAGGTCTTCTCTAAATACATAATAAAAAAATGAGCATAATACTTTGCCCAGTTTTTTTTTTGCTGTTGTTTGTGAGTCGTTATATTTTTTTTTAGAAGATTTGAGTGGTAAAACCAGAAACAAATTGTGTGAAAAAGAATTTGATAGCAAACGGCAACGTCTGGAATGGAAAAACTTTGCCAAAAATTAAACAAAATTGTACCTGTTTAACTAAATATTTAAATAAAAATCGTAGATAATAAAAATATCCAAAACTTGAATATAATTTTACTGAAGCACTTAAACCCTTTAGAACGTGATTTAAAAGTGCGCGACCCTTAAAGTGAAAACTCCGTAATATTATATTCCACAAGAATATAAAATAAACGGAAGGTATATTTTTTATATAATGCATTCACTTCCGTTAAGTTTATTTTATATTTAAATTGCTAACTTAACTTTGGATTTATTTAAAAGTCATTAAGAGTTATCAGCTTGTAAATAAAACTGTTGTTCAAAAATTCAAAAGCTTTACTATATTTCCACTTCGGCCAAAATTGGTACGACCCGAAAACATTAAAAAAAACTTTGTTTAAAAAATGTATGCAATAAATCAATAAATAAAACAATAAACTCTTTAAGCAAATCACGATAGCAAACTAATACACTAAAATCTTAAACTAATTAAATAAAATGCAGAATAGATTTTTATTTCGTTTATGTCGATTTAGCTAAACAATAGTTGTAATGCTGTTATACCACACATTGCTCAAGAAGTGACAACAACATGGTGTCATGTGTCAAAGTCAAAGTGAACAAAAAGTGGGTACATTAAACAATTGCTATAAGCGCGATTCATGTAAGGTTGTGCCTACATATATGTATATGTAGAGTAGATGGCATAAAACGTAATTGTACGTGGCAGCCACACACGAACTTTCACTAATGACTCTCGATGAACTTTTGGATCACTCACACTCCACTCGAAACGCACTCACTCACTCACTTTTATATACGAGTGCATATATGCACTTTGAAACGTGCCAACCGTGTGTCATTGGATGCACTATCCGAAGCAAAATCTGCAGAGACGGAAATTCTTAGACGCGCTTTTCTCGGTTCTTACGATTTTAATCGTTTTTGGTCATGCCCTGAGATATGTGTCTGCCGCACACCTCGAATTTACACCTTGTTTAATGTTTCTTGCTTATCTCCACCTGCACTTCAGTGAGCTCTGATAACAACAGTATGAGTACAAAGCAATCATTTTTAAATAATTCATGGATGACCGACCGTGTTTGGTTAAAGTGGTCTCTTGAATTAGAAACCCATTTCTTTTCCCTGTTATGGTTTGGAAATATTTGTGCGCTAAGGATGTTGCACATTTAAAAATCTTTTATATAGGTATGTTGTTCTTAGATTGGTAACAATTGTTTATTGTGTTCTCGAATATATTTTTAAAAATAAAAATAAATTTATAAACCAATTAAATAATATTTAGTTAAATAGTTTACAGGTTCACCTGTATCTGTATTTACGTTTCCAATTCATTAAGAACTGAGTTTGTTAATGGGCTTAGGAGACAGTGACATAATAATACCCTTAAAGTGGGTGCTGATAACAGTACAGCGCATATTGGGCAATATTATTTAAAATGCTATCTGTGTATGTATCAGCTAACTGCTTGAACTCTAACCAACAATTCAGGTTGCTATATAGTCATGTTTGAGTGTGGATCGCGGATCGGTTCCCTATGTGCATTATACTTGTATTTTGACCGGCAGAGCGTAACCAGACTGGTATGTGTACGTGTATACGTGCCGCCGTGTGCCACTAAATTTGGTTGCTCTTGCTGGTGCTGCTTTTTTGTCTGGCATGTTGCAATTACTATGGAGAGGAGAGACGCCTCCAAGCTATACTACGGCTGATACCATACCTCTGTTAGTCCATGTGTTAAATGATGGATGGGGTGTCCGATTGAAAGGCGGTTGCGATGGTAACCGACTGGGAAATGACGCCAGCTTGAAATTCTGATTCATGGCTGGCTTTTAAAATAAAGCTGTTTAGTTAAAAAAAAACTGATCCACATGCTGATTGCATTGCATTAAAAGAGTCTCAACGGGGTATTAGAAGACGTGATGCACAGATACAAATTAAAGATTAATTGAAACTCACTTTAAAATGATTAATCTAAGAGATAAAAAAGAGTTTTCAAATTAAAGATCAACAAGAAATCATTTTGAAAGGATTCTGGTTTTTAAAACCAGAAGTAGACCGTAGTTGAAGTAGAAAGTTAAAAATGTTTATAAATTGATATCCTAAACATTGTATTTACAGAAATTGTTTTCCTTAAAAACAAATCGTCCATGTCAACACCTTGCTTTCATCTTTTCAAACATATCTAATTGCAGATAGTGCAGTTTTCTTTTGCCTAAATAAAAAGTATTGTTAAATTTCTGCCATGCCGTAAAAAGTAATGAAAGTAAATATTTTCAATGAAAACCAAGTAATTTGCATAACAAACGCAGCTCATTGAGACCTTCGATTTCGGTTAGACGCTCTTTTTCGGGTGGTTCTCGTATCCAATTGATTGTGTTCGGGGCGACTGAAGCTTAAAAGTGAAAATAGCTCGATGGCCTTTTTTGCATGTCTAAAGGTGTAAAGGTTTATTTATTTTTTATAAGATTTTCGGTCACGTATGGGATGGTTTGGGTCGGTTTCCCTATTTTGAGAAGAAAAGAAGTATCGAAAGTATGAGTTTTATGGATGTGTTTAAGACTGATGACTAATTCGTTGTTGTTTTTGTTTTGTTAATGAGTTGCCACTTTTGGCTCAAGACTTAGTAAGCGAGTGTGTGTTGTTGGCCAAATGGAGGAAAGAAAGACGTTTACCTCAAGCTAGGAAAGCGCTATGATAGCAAGAACAACAAAGAGACGACGGACCACAAACGAAGACAGCGACAAGTTGTGAATTCTTTCAATTTACCGTAAACTTCACCTTAATTTTTTTTTTTTTTCAAAGCCGGTTTTAGTTGCCGCAGGCGCTAACTTGTATTTTGTTATTGTTGTTCATGGCTAACTCTTCCACTTGTTCTCTTTTGGAACAGAAAAATAATACAAGAGGCAGCAGCGAAGAGGAACGGGCTTTTGTCTCTGGATGCCAACGCAGGATCAGTAAATGAAGGACGACGAATATGGTGATTGTAACACGTGTAAGTATTTACTCCTTATTAGCGAGAGTATCATAAGGGATCATTCCAGGCACTCCCATATATCACACTCTTTCCTCTACCATGAATACAAAAAGCGGAAGTTTCATGCCATGCCTCACTTCAACTCCCATTACTCTGACACAGTGGTGGATGAAAATATTTGTATGGGGTGAAACAACAGGTTGCTAGTCTCAACAGAAAGTTTTTAGACTAATATACAAATTTTACTATTGATTGTATTTATTTTTATCTCAGAAAGCTTTACTTAAAATGTTTCAATGTAAAAAACAAGAGCACTGTTTAGTCTTCTGTACAATTCAAATTTTGTTTAAAATTGTTCATTTGTAAAAAAAACCCCACTCCAATTATTTTAGATACTTAATAAAGGTACTAACTTTGAATACATTTTAATAACTAACCATATCTTAAACTTCTTTTGTAAGAACCTTATTTATAACTCTCAAACTCGGGATGTTTGTTGTCAGAACCTTTTTCGTTACTTCTTGATCGTCGTTTAAGTTGTTATTGCCTCAAAATAGTTTCCTTATTAATTAGTTTCAAAACTGCCCTTCGGTCAGAGGTTCTTGTGTAAAACATTTGTGTAAAACCACCTCCTCATATATTTTCGCCCATCACTGTGCCTTGCTGATGTCTGTCCCTGGTATCGCTATTTTTGTTGCGTTCCGCTCAAGTGACTCTTACAACAAACAGTACATAGGTTTTTATGGCCCCCATGTCCATGGCAACCGAATGGGGCAGCCTCGTAAAGAACTGAATGTCAAATTGTAAAATATTCAATTGGTAAAAAATTGAAAAATTGTAATTACGCCTCTAATCGACAACAGGGTGACTACATCTGGATAGAGCCCGCCTCGGGGCGAGAATTCGATGTGGCCATTGGAGCACGTGTCGTCTCCGCGGAGGGTCGTCGCATCCAGGTGCGCGATGACGATGGCGACGAGGTCTGGTTGGCCCCCGAGCGCCGCATCAAGGCCATGCACGCGTCCTCCGTCCAGGGAGTGGAGGACATGATTTCCCTGGGCGATCTGCACGAGGCTGGTATCTTGCGGAATCTGCTTATACGCTACAAAGAGAATCTGATCTACGTGAGTAAATCAATATTTACTAGTTATAAATACTAGTTAATACTTTAACTCTAAAAAATAAACCAATCACATTTTGTACTCAGAATTGAAAAATTGATAATTGCGATATTCTGATAAACCTCATATTAGTTTACTCAAGTCTTATCTAAGAGTCATAATATTGAACCATGACCAATAACTGTTAAGAACCTTTCGTTTTTTCCTATTTCTTGTGCTTTTTTAAGAATAGAAAATGTATAAGTATTTATAAACCAAATTTAGATTGACGACCAGCGTTATCGCAAATACAAGCTTTAATTTGTTACCAAATGATATTATAAGTTTGCTATATAAACGTTATTCTTTCGCCTTACTTTCAGACCTATACCGGTTCCATATTGGTTGCCGTTAATCCCTACCAGATCCTGCCTATCTACACGGCCGATCAGATCAAGCTCTACAAAGAACGTAAAATCGGAGAACTTCCGCCGCACATCTTTGCGATTGGAGATAATGCGTATGCGCACATGAAACGATATCGCCAGGATCAGTGCATCGTGATATCCGGAGAGTCGGGAGCTGGCAAAACCGAGAGCACAAAGTTGATCCTGCAGTATCTGGCTGCGATCAGTGGCAAGCATTCGTGGATCGAGCAGCAAATCCTCGAGGCGAATCCCATTCTGGAAGCCTTCGGAAATGCCAAAACCATTCGCAATGACAATTCATCGAGGTAAACATTAAATGCACACAATATTTATGACCTGAGATGTGCTATTAATAAAATTCATTCTTGTACAGGTTTGGCAAATACATAGACATACACTTTAGCGCCAATGGCGTGATCGAGGGAGCCAAAATCGAACAATATCTGCTGGAGAAGTCACGAATTGTTTCCCAAAATCATAGTGAACGCAATTATCATGTGTTTTACTGCATTTTGGCCGGACTATCGGCGGAGGAGAAGAGTCGCCTTGATCTTGGCATGGCTGCTGATTATAAGTAAGCTTTTAACTAACGTTAATAATAACCGGAAATGAGCTATATTTAATTTAACATTTTTGTAGATATCTGACTGGTGGCAATAGCATAACATGCGAGGGACGCGATGATGCTGCCGAATTTTCCGACATTCGATCCGCCATGAAGGTTCTGCTCTTCTCCGATCAGGAAATCTGGGAGATTATCAAGCTGTTGGCTGCCCTGCTGCACTGTGGCAACATCAAGTACAAGGCAACTGTGGTGGATAATCTGGACGCCACCGAGATACCGGAGCACATCAATGTGGAGCGTGTGGCCGGACTGCTTGGACTTCCCATTCAGCCGCTGATTGACGCTCTGACACGTCGCACACTATTTGCTCACGGCGAGACGGTGGTGTCCACTCTGTCGCGGGATCAATCTGTGGATGTGCGCGATGCCTTCGTAAAGGGCATTTACGGACGAATGTTTGTGCACATCGTCCGGAAGATAAACACGGCTATTTTCAAGCCGCGCGGCACCTCACGGAACGCCATCGGAGTGCTGGACATCTTTGGCTTTGAGAACTTCGATCAGAACAGCTTTGAGCAGTTTTGCATCAATTATGCCAATGAGAATCTGCAGCAGTTCTTTGTGCAGCACATTTTCAAACTGGAACAGGAGGAGTACAACCACGAGGCCATCAATTGGCAGCATATCGAGTTTGTGGACAATCAGGATGCCCTTGACTTGATAGCTATTAAGCAGCTGAACATTATGGCTTTGATCGATGAGGAGGCCCGCTTTCCCAAGGGCACGGATACAACGATGCTGGCCAAACTGCACAAGACCCATGGAGCGCACAAGAACTATCTGAAGCCCAAGTCGGACATTAACACCAGCTTCGGATTGAACCACTTTGCCGGCGTAGTGTTTTACGATACGCGTGGATTTCTAGACAAAAACCGAGACACCTTCAGTCCTGATCTCCTGCACTTGGTTAGCCAGAGTGGCAACAAGTTCCTGCGCCAAATCTTTGCCCAGGACATTGAAATGGGTGCAGAGACGAGGAAGCGAACGCCCACACTGTCCACTCAGTTCAGGAAATCGCTAGATGCGCTGATGAAGACGCTCTGCAGCTGTCAGCCATTCTTTATTCGATGTATCAAACCCAACGAGCTGAAAAAGCCGATGATGTTCGACCGTGGTTTGTGCTGTCGTCAGCTGCGTTACTCTGGCATGATGGAAACGATCCGGATTCGTCGTGCTGGCTATCCCATTCGGCATGGATTCCGGGAGTTCGTAGAACGGTATCGTTTTCTAATACCCGGAGTGCCGCCAGCTCATCGCACGGATTGCCAGGCGGCTACTTCAAGGATTTGTGCCGTGGTTCTGGGCAAGTCCGACTATCAACTGGGCCACACCAAGGTCTTCCTGAAGGATGCCCACGATCTGTTTCTGGAACAGGAGCGAGATCGAGTGTTGACGCGAAAAATCCTCATTTTGCAGCGCAGCATTCGTGGTTGGGTGTACCGACGAAGGTTCCTGCGCCTGCGCGCCGCTGCCATCACAGTGCAGAGATTCTGGAAGGGCTATGCCCAGCGCAAACGTTACCGGAACATGCGAGTGGGCTACATGCGTTTGCAGGCCCTAATCCGATCGAGAGTCCTGTCCCATCGATTCCGCCATCTAAGGGGTCACATTGTCGGTCTGCAGGCCCATGCTCGGGGATATCTGGTGAGGCGGGAGTATGGTCACAAGATGTGGGCCGTCATCAAGATCCAGTCGCATGTGCGACGAATGATTGCCATGCGTCGGTACCGGAAACTTCGCTTGGAGCACAAGCAGTTCGCCGAGGTGCTCCAGCTTCGCAAGCTGGAGGAGCAGGAGCTACTGCATCGCGGCAATAAGCATGCCCGGGAAATTGCCGAACAACATTACCGAGATCGATTGCACGAACTGGAGCGTCGGGAGATTCAGGAACAAATGGAAAATCGTCGTCGAGTGGAGGTCAATATGAATATTATCAATGATGCAGCACGCAAACAGGAGGAGCCGGTGGACGATGGCAAACTGGTGGAGGCCATGTTCGACTTTCTGCCCGATTCCAGTAGCGATGCACCCACTCCGCATGGCGGTAGAGAAACGTCCGTGTTCAATGATTTGCCCCATGCGCAAAACGTCAACCAGGAGGATATTATTGCACCCATGCACATCTCCGAGGATGAGGAAGATCTGTCGGAATTCAAGTTTCAGAAATTCGCAGCCACTTACTTTCAGGGGAATGTGAATCATCAGTATGCTAAGAAGGCTCTAAAGCACCCACTTCTTCCACTTCACACGCAAGGCGATCAACTTGCGGCGCAGGCCTTGTGGATCACAATACTCAGGTTCACTGGTGATATGCCGGAGCCCAAGTATCATACAATGGATCGAATGGATACCACATCCGTAATGTCCAAGGTCACGGCCACATTGGGGCGTAATTTTATAAGGAGTAAGGTGAGTTAAGATTTTACATCACAGTGTAAAGTGGTAAAAGTTAATTGTATCTTTCTGAAATATCTAAAAACTTGATACTACACTTGATTTATAGGAATTCCAAGAGGCTCAGCTCATGGGCCTGGATCCCGATGCCTTTCTCAAGCAAAAACCGCGCTCGATCCGCCACAAACTGGTATCTCTGACCCTGAAACGAAAGAACAAGTTGGGCGAAGATGTGCGCCGACGGCTGCAGGACGACGAATACACGGCGGATAGCTACCAATCGTGGCTGCAATCGCGTCCCACCTCGAACCTGGAGAAGCTGCACTTCATCATTGGCCATGGCATCCTGCGAGCCGAGCTGCGTGACGAAATCTACTGCCAGATATGCAAGCAGCTGACCAACAACCCCCTGAAGTCCTCGCATGCCAGGGGATGGATTCTGCTCTCACTGTGCGTGGGCTGCTTTGCGCCTTCGGAGAAGTTTGTCAACTATTTGAGGGCCTTCATCCGTGAGGGTCCGCCGGGATATGCGCCGTATTGTGAGGAGCGACTGAAGCGAACCTTCAACAATGGAACCCGCAATCAACCGCCTTCGTGGCTGGAGTTGCAGGCCACCAAATCGAAGAAGCCCATTATGCTCCCGATTACGTTTATGGATGGCAATACGAAGACTCTGCTGGCCGACTCCGCCACCACGGCCCGGGAGCTGTGCAATCAATTGTCGGACAAGATAACGCTCAAAGATCAGTTCGGTTTCTCACTGTACATAGCGCTGTTCGACAAAGTCAGCTCCTTGGGCAGTGGCGGCGACCATGTGATGGACGCCATCTCACAGTGCGAGCAGTATGCAAAGGAGCAGGGCGCCCAGGAGCGAAACGCGCCGTGGCGTCTGTTCTTCCGCAAGGAAATCTTTGCACCCTGGCACGAGCCCACCCACGATCAGGTGGCCACGAACCTCATTTACCAGCAGGTCGTTAGGGGTGTTAAATTTGGCGAATATCGCTGCGACAAGGAGGAGGACCTGGCCATGATTGCTGCGCAGCAATACTTTATCGAATACTCTACAGATATGTCCATGGAGCGGTTGTTCACCCTGCTGCCCAACTTTATACCCGACTTTTGTCTCAGCGGTGTGGACAAGGCCATCGAACGCTGGGCCGCTTTGGTTCTGCAGGCCTATAAGAAATCCTACTATGTCAAGGACAAGATTGCGCCGCTGAAGATAAAAGAGGACATCGTCAGCTATGCCAAGTACAAGTGGCCCCTGCTCTTTTCGCGCTTCTACGAAGCCTATCGCAACTCAGGTCCGAATCTGCCCAAGAACGATGTCATCATAGCGGTCAACTGGACGGGCGTCTATGTGGTGGACGATCAGGAGCAGGTCCTGCTCGAATTAAGCTTCCCCGAAATCACAGCCGTATCCAGTCAGAAGACCAACAAAGTGTTCACCCAGACATTCAGTCTATCCACGGTTCGGGGCGAGGAGTTCACGTTCCAGAGTCCCAATGCTGAGGATATTCGAGATCTGGTTGTCTACTTCTTGGATGGCCTGAAAAAGCGGTGAGTTAGGAAATTTGCTAACAAATTTGTATAATTTAAGAGCAACTATAGCTGAAGCCAAATTAATGAAACATTTTTTCACTGTTTTCAGTTCGAAATTTGTTATAGCCCTTCAGGACTATCGCGCACCTTCGGATGGTACGAGTTTTCTGTCATTCTTCAAGGGTGATCTGATCATACTCGAGGACGAATCCTGCGGTGAATCAGTGCTTAACAACGGCTGGTGCATAGGTCGCTGCGATCGCTCCCAGGAGCGTGGCGATTTCCCAGCCGAAACGGTCTATGTCCTGCCGACGCTTAGTAAACCACCGCAGGATATTCTCGCCCTGTTTAACATCGAGGAGGCCCATCATGGACGTCGTTTGAGCATGGCTTCCAATGGCGGTGCGGTGGAGCCAAGGGATCGACCGCATACGTTAATGGAGTACGCCCTGGACCATTTCCGTTTGCCCCCGAAACGCACCATGTCCAAGACACTCACCCTGAGCTCGAAACGAAGTGAAGAACTGTGGCGCTATGCCCGGGATCCCATCAAGGCGCCGCTGCTACGCAAGTTGCAAAGCAAAGAGGAGTTCGCCGAGGAAGCCTGCTTCGCCTTTGCGGCCATACTGAAGTATATGGGAGATCTGCCTTCGAAGCGACCCCGGATGGGCAACGAAATCACGGATCACATATTTGATGGACCGCTTAAGCACGAGATTCTGCGCGATGAGATCTATTGTCAGCTGATGAAACAGTTGACGGACAACCGCAACCGGATGTCCGAGGAGAGGGGCTGGGAGCTGATGTGGTTGGCCACTGGACTGTTTGCCTGCTCGCAGGGTTTGCTCAAGGAGTTGCTGCTGTTCCTGCGCAGTCGGCGTCATCCCATCTCACAGGTAATAGTATTGAACAATACAATAATGTCTGCAACTATTAATACCTTCATTTACTTATTTGGCAGGACTCAATGCATCGACTGCAAAAGACCATACGCCATGGACAACGCAAATATCCACCGCATCAGGTGGAGGTGGAGGCCATACAGCACAAAACCACACAGATCTTCCACAAGGTCTACTTCCCGGACGACACGGACGAAGCCTTCGAGGTGGACAGCTCCACGCGGGCCAAGGACTTCTGCAACAACATCTCGCAACGCCTATCGCTTCGCACCAGCGAGGGCTTCTCCCTGTTTGTGAAGATTGCCGATAAGGTCATCTCGGTGCCCGAAGGCGATTTCTTCTTCGACTTCGTACGCCATCTGACCGACTGGATAAAGAAGGCGCGACCCATACGCGATGGGGCGAATCCGCAGTTCACCTACCAGGTCTTCTTCATGAAGAAACTGTGGACGAACACAGTGCCAGGCAAGGATCGGAATGCCGATCTCATATTCCACTATCACCAGGAGTTGCCCAAGCTGTTGCGCGGCTATCACAAGTGTTCCCGGGAGGAGGCGGCCAAGCTGGCGGCTCTCGTCTTTCGCGTTCGCTTCGGTGAAAATAAACAAGAACTGCAGGCCATACCGTAAGCTGAGCAACAAATATTCCACCCTCTCCGTTCCACTAACTTAAGAGTTTCTTGCTTTAGGCAAATGCTGAGAGAACTTATTCCATCGGATATTATGAAAATGCAGAGCACTAGCGAATGGAAACGATCGATTGTGGCCTCTTATAACCAGGATGGCGGCATGACTTCCGAAGATGCCAAAGTGGCCTTCTTAAAGATCGTTTACAGGTAGGGATCATTATAAACAAAATTTATAATCGTTCCCTTAACCATTTTAATTTAATTGAATAGATGGCCAACCTTTGGTTCCGCTTTCTTCGAGGTGAAACAAACCACCGAACCAAACTATCCCGAAATGCTACTAATAGCCATTAACAAACACGGCGTGAGTCTCATACACCCAGTGACCAAGGTAAGAAATTATCAATTGATTATGATTTATAGATTTGGGTTGCATTAATTTTTTATATTCCAATTAACTCAAAAGTTTAATTATGATTTTTCATGTTTATAAAGCTGGCTTCTATATTTCCTGTAATTGTGACTTTAATTTTGTTTGTAGGATATATTGGTCACACATCCTTTTACACGCATCTCGAACTGGTCCTCGGGCAATACATATTTCCACATGACCATCGGCAATCTGGTGAGGGGCTCGAAACTGTTGTGCGAAACGTCGCTGGGCTACAAGATGGACGATCTGCTGACTTCATATATTTCGTTGATGTTGACCAATATGAACAAGAATCGAACAATACGAGCCAACTAGTAAATCCTACAATTACCGCAAATATTTATAATAATTATAAATAACAATTGCAATAACTTATACATGCCTAGTACTTTCTAGTTTTAAGTGATTCCTTATACCCACCCCCTTTGTTCTAATTGCATTCCCTCCTCGGAGAAATCATTCCAATTTTGGCCTTGTTCAGCTATCGATTATACCAAACCAATTTCCAATTTTGTTTGTTTTTATTTGTATAAATTTTGCAATTATGCTCTTAGTTATTCTTATGGCACATTCCGATTAAATTATTAAATACGATGTTTTGTATGAAGAAAAGGTCTTACATATCCATAGATAAGCATTTGTATCTACGCATTTTGCATCTATCTCTTTGTATATCCTAACTGCATATCTGTACTGATGACGTTTTGTATCAAATACATAGAAATGTTCAATTATTAAATAAATTATATACAATTTACTTTACAATTTTTATTTAGCAGGGGACAGATGAAATGGCACCTTCTATTGATTAAATTTTGTTATAAGGAATAATCTGTGAATTTAAGTGAAACAAATTTTTTTATTCGTAAGTGAAATTAGAAGAAAATCTCTTTCTGATCAGAAAGGCCGAAAGTTGGTTTAAAGGTTGTGCAAATAGTTAGAGGCTAAATTTGATTAACGCATACAGTTGTATAACTTATAATATACTAAGAAAACAATAACTCTAGGTTTAATTGCTTCTTGATAAAGTTGCTTAAACTGACTTATAAAAACGCCAATAAAATCTATGAATTTTAAATCTAGAATCATTAATAGCATTGAACAATAGCAAGGAGATTAAGTTTTGATATTGGATAGAGTGTTCGACTTATCAAATACGCTAACTTATCCAGGAAATTGACTTAAATGTTGGTCATTAAAAAGAAGACTCAATTATTTCTACAGAAATACGAAATACTATTAAATTATAATTAGTTTTGCCAAATGACTTTTTCAATCGATAAACCAATCTTGACCTACGGCTTTGAATTTTCCACCTGTGTATTAGGCAGTGTACGTGTCCAAAGTCTTGTGAACAACATTTTATATAGGACTTGCACATATAGTTTCCCTTGATTTTCTTGGCTGACTCCCACGCCGGCGATTTCCCACGCATTGTATTTTGCGAGAATTTCCATTTTTCCCCAGCGTGTGAAAAACGGCAGCAGTCAGCAGCAGGCCATACGACTTAAGACGGCAGGTAGACTTAGATTTTTCAAGATAATTAACTTTTTTAGTAGTCCGTCGGTATGAAGTTGTGTAGCAGTCCTGAGAACTTTTAGAAATAGCTGTCTCCCCCCTTTCTAGAAGCGACCGCAATCATCGCACTCACCTGTCCAAACAGTGGGGTAGAAAGAGGGCCGGGGAAATGTGAAGGAATTGTTCATTAAAAATTCCAAACTAATTTCATATTCAGCTTCTTATAAGACGGCGACGACCTTAAGAGGTTGCAGTTCCAATTGTGAGTCTCGGAACTTTTGGTGGTGGTTTTTCCATCATCACATGAAGAGGCCAGTTTTCCTCACGCAACCCAAGTTCGTTGTTTGAGTCTTTCGTTCCCATCGCATGGCGCGCAGTGAAATTTTAGGGGTTGCAACCAAGTTCCTATTGGCTGACTCTGATAAGAATAATGTCTCCCAACAATAAGATAAGTTTAAATGCTTGGTCAGCTCTCACCTTCTGAATCCGCTGAGCGGAAGTAAGCGATAATTAATTCAAAACTGCGAATCTTAATTTGTAAATCTGTAAAGACAGCAGCGACGACTGTATAAATATTCAACAAAAGGTAGTAAAACTCTCACAGCAGCTCGGCAGCGGCTTTTTGGGCTGTGAGAAAATTCTGCTCCTTAACTTGGCCAAAAACGGAAACAATAGTGTTATATATCTATGTATATTTGCTTCTTAGCTTGGCGTTCAGCAATCCAGACCAAACTATAATTAAAGTTGGCCCCGCCAAGGGGGTTGCGAGGCAAGTCATCGTGGGAAGAGCTGCACTTGTTTTGTTTAAAAATATTCACACGATACTGGGCCAAATTCCCACAGCAATTTAAGGCAACCAATCCTCCCCCAGCTCTCCACCTCAGTCCAACCAAGAGTGGTGAACAAGAATAATCACGCAAAATAAAAAAAAAAAACTTAAATGACATGATTTGGTTGATTTTTCTTTGTCATAATTTCGGATTTCCTTCTTTTTTATTCATGTTTCGTTTTTTTTCTGCTTAGAGTTAAATAAATCGTCGACTTGTCTTTTTGCGATTTTGTTACACAAAATATTATATGGAACTTTTTGTGCTACGAATTTCCAAAGAGTTAAGTAAATAAAAAATGCAACAAAACTGTATGTACAGAAAAAAGTTTTCCCTTTTGACTTTTTAGAAAGTTTAAGGGTGATTGAATGGAATGTATTTTTGTAGCAAGGCTACTTAAAAAGCAGGCTTCAGTTTTCTGATATATTTCGAAGTACTTTTTCCCTTTGGCAGTCTTTAGAAATTCATAGCAAAGAAAATCATAAATATTTCAACCGCTGCTAAAAATCTTCTATAAACTTACATCGATTGTATATTTAACTAGAATTATATGTTCTGTGTAGATGTATATTCATGCACATACAAATATATATATATATATATATAAATGTCAGTGAGCTTTTTTTTCGAGTTATGTACAGAGTTATATGTTGCATTTACAAATCTATTGGTTCCAAACTAGCACTAGATACATGTATGTAGGATGATTCACTTTAGAGAGAAGGGGACACAATTCGTTCACGTCATGAGAGGTGGAAAATTAGTATGAGAAAAATTGTCAATCTACAAACTAAGGTCTCCAATAAAAACTATAAATAACTTAGGATACATAAATGTGCGATGCAATAATCCTGCACTCAGGACAAGCCGCTACCATGACTATTCCATTGCACTTCTGAGATGGAGGGCAGCGCCTGATGCTGCTGCTGTTGCATACTGCCGCCAGCCGGTGATCCCGCATTGTTGCTGTTATTATTGTTGCTAATGCTAGTGATGTTGTTATTATTGTTGTTCTGTCGCGTCCGCATCACATCCTCGGCCTGGGTATTGCAATGTGGCCGAGGACCCGGCTCCGGTGTATATGTGAAGGTCAGACCAGTGGCATAAATGATGCCATCGTTGCGCACCAGCGAAATGGGCACCTGTGTGGGTTGTCGTACCTGCAGCATGGGCAAAAAAACTCAAATTAAGTAAGCATTACAAGAATTTACATTCGAAAAACCTACCCAAAGCCATTCGCCGCGGAACTGGGAAATCTCGGGCACCACACACAGCAGTGTCTCCGTGCATCGGTACATGGTTTCTGCCTCCACATCGCCGAACCACACCTGCAGATGCGGCGTGAAGTTGTCGCCACTGAGCTCCAGCATGGCCACATCGCCGCCGCCATTGAGATTCAGTGAATTTACAATTGGCACTGGAGTGACTGGGGATCTAAAAAGGGGGTTATAGGACACAATGTCAGCAAATAGATTGACAAAGAAGTAAGCTATACTTACGCCACGGGACCCATGCCCTCGTAGAACTGATATTCAGCCTTGTCGGTGGAGATGATGGTCCAGCAGGCGCCGTCATTGATCATCTCCTTGTTGGGCTCCTTGGGACAGGGCGTGGCCTGGAACTGAATGATCTTCTCCTGCGACAGGCAAAGGTACATTCGGTCCGTGTCCTTCATGTAGAAGGCACACTTGTGTAGCTGCGATACGGGATCGTCGGCCTCCAGCAAGGCCATCTGCTTGTCCACTTTCCTGATGATCAGCCGGGGCAGGGCCATGCCCGTAACGGAGCACACCAGTTTCACCGTGGCCCCGTAATGGATGTAACCGTCGCGCACCTGGAACTCCTCCGACTCGGACTCGTTGTCATCCAGCAGGTGTATCGTGAAGGCACCCCATTGCGTCGATGAGGCATGGAAGTGTCCATTCTCCACGTGCAGATAACGGGTGGAGACGGTCTGGGAACGCAGGCGATTGAAGAGGGCAACATTGGTGCCGCTGGCTATGCACAGGTCGGCATTCTTCAGCGACTGTTTCTTCTTGGACGGCTTGGATATCACCTTGATCCGTTTCGAGTTGAATACGCCGATGTCGTGGCCATTGCCGTAGAACATCTTCACCGACAGCATGAAATGCTTCCGCTTGTCCGAGTCGGAGATGAAGAGCGTCTTGGCCGCACAGTACTGCTTGCCATTGAGATCCAGCTGCTGCATGTCCTGGTCGCTACTTCCGATTCCGATGAAGGCGCACAGCTGCGCCCCCTGCTCGCCCTCGCCCTGCTGCAGCATCTCCTCGTACCGCCGACGCCAGCCGCTCCCAAACAGATAGATACATGGCGGTGGGCAGAAGAAACGCTTCTCATTGCCGTAGGACTTCTGGGCCACCTGGAATACACACACACACACACACAGTGGTGCAGGGAAATTCAATTAGCACAAATTGGCGTTCAGATTATCGGCAAATCATATCAAAAACCGCAAGCAATGCAGCTTTGTTAATTTTGTGTAATTAATTTCAATTATTTTCATTGCGGACTGGACCGGGCTCGCGTTGCTCAATTTGCGGGCAGTCGAGTGTGAAGGATTCGCATTTGGCGGCAGTCGCCGCTTGAAGATCGCCACCGCTAAAACGGCAACCGCGACAATTTTATTCCATTTCTAAGTCTGCCTTCGCCAAAAACCACAAAAATGTAACACTTTAAACTGGACAATAGAAATACTAGCACCTTTTAATGTTGGGTGCGGTTTGTGGTGCGGATTGACTGATTAGACTTAAGTTTAATTTTGAAAAACAAAAAGTTTTTAAATTTAGGCTCAACAATATTTTAGAACAGTAAAATTTTATAATGGTTGACTGTTTTTTTTTTATATAACAACAAATATTCTGTACAACAATAACTAAGAATTCGAATTCCACAAAATTTTACAATTATAAAATATTTGTTGGAATCCGTTTTTTGTAAGTAAATAAAAACCTACACTAAACACCTTGCAACACCGTTGTCTTTAAAGTTTTAACCTACCTATATTTGTCTTGCTACTATTTAACTAATTCTTTACAATTTTAAAAATCTGAAATTCCTGAGGTTGTACTTGATTTCAAGTTGGGTAAAACGCTAAAATTTCTTACAAATTTTAATAATATTTAAAGCCCTATAAAGCAATGTTTTTTTTGTTTATAGTGTTTATAGATATACCCATTCGCACCTTGGCATGCAGGATCACGATGACCATGTCGTTGCGCTCGCGCATGTACTTCTCCATGGCGTCCCGCGTCAGCTTCTTTTCCTCGATGTGTGGCCGATAAGGACCTGGCAGCAATGACATTTGCATTTGTTGTTGCTGCTGGTGCTGGTGTTGCTGCTGCTGCTGCTGTTGTTGCTGCTGCTGATGGTGCACTTGTAGTTGTTGCTGCTGCTGCTGCGCTGACGGCGGCTGAGGACCGCCGGGCAGTCCAAAGTGCGGCATGTCCTGGCGCTGCTGCTGCTGTTGTTGTTGCTGCTGGTGACTATGATCGAGCGGCGATCCGTTGGGATTGAGACTGGCAACCGAACTATTATCGTAGGCAATGGCGGGCGGGGCGGCGGCGTTTAAATTAAATTGGCTGTAGCTCTTCATTTATGCACATGTCTTTGCATTGAACTGGTTGGAATTTGAAGCGGTTGGCTTATGTATTTCGATTTTTATTATTTGGCAAATTCGTTTGGCACTTCGACACTGCTCGATCCCGTTGTTGTTTTTGTATGTTTTGTATTTGTTATCCTGCACCAACACACACGCAGAGCAGCTGTCGTTTCTCTCACGCACTCTCTCCCTCTTAATCGCGGATTGGCTTTGTTGTTGTTTCTGGCTGGGATTTCGGCTAGTTTCTGGTCTAATCACTAATCACATATTTTTGTTTTCAGGCAGATCTTTACTAGCGACTAGCGGTCGCAGCGGCTGGCTTCTGTTTAAAGGTGCAACTAGCGCTCGAGTTATATTTATAATATGCTACAACTAAAAAAAAGCGACTGAGGATGTTGATGTTGTATCGATAGCTCGATGGGCTCTTATTTATGATAGTCGCTGCCTACCGGCGATATGTTCATCGTTTCGCAACACTGTTTGGAGGGTATGGCCAGGGGTGGCCAATTAGCTTTTTAATAGCTGTTTTGTGTTTGTCCTAGCTTTTTTATGTTTTATCCTAATATATTTCCCAGATTTATACTACAATTTGCGAGCCCCATTGCCTTTTAATAATTTATAATGTGAGTTATCTGTCAACTAAGTTTGAACTGTTTTACCCAATTTCATCGATTTTCTTTCGGTCCTACAAGATATCGATTTTGGCGCACTCATTTAAAATTTATGGCTCAAGCTACTGACCTTCTTTTCATGAGTCAGCTTGTTAAAAACAGGCCGTGGGAACGAACACATATGTAAATATTAAGGATAATTTGCGCAGTAAATATCAAATACAATTGCCTAACAATTAGGTTGCAGTAGTACAAGTAATAGCTGTGAATTAATTATTTACGGATAATTCTTAAGAGGTTTTTTACATTGTAGAGCAAACCATCTTTACTTCATTTTGAATGAATAGCAGTAGAAAAAAAGTGATCTTCAGTGATCACTTTGCATACTATCGATTGTTGCATTCGATATAGCCGATAGCTTCTCGCCGTTCTGCCACATCTAACTTGTGAAATCACGGTGCGGTGCTTGAACTTTAAAGATATTCTAGAAATTCTGTGGCAATGGAGCAATTCAAGGGTCTGAAAAAATCCCTCTATGTATGGACGGATAGCGCTGACCTGGATAAGCGTGTGGAGCAACTGAAGACAGCCACCGGGGGCGAGGTGGCCGTGGAAAATGTGCATCGCCTTTCGTTTTGTAAGTTGCGTGCGGAGTGTTTTATTTGTTTGTCTAGCCAGTCCAATGAGTCAGCAGATTAAAATTTATAGTTTTTATGCATTCCAGCGTCCTATGCCAACTCCAGTTTCGACCTGATCGTGATTGAGTGCGCCCAGCTGACCGACAGTTACGTAAAACTGCTGCACATGCTAAAACCGAGTGGCAAGCTGCACTTGGTGTCCTTCATCGGACCGGCAGCTAGTCTGCTGCAGGAGATAAAGTTGTCCGGCTTTATTAACTGCCGCGAGGAGGCAGCTGATGCCCTGACTGCCGAGAAGCCGGGTTACGAGACGGGCTCCTCGGCCAGACTGTCCTTTGCCAAAAAGAATGCCAGTGCTGTGAATGTATGGAAGATAAGCGGCGACGATGAGGAGCTGATCGATGAGGAGGATCTGCTGGACGAGGAGGACAAACAGAAGCCAGATCCGGCCGGCTTGCGCGTCTGTAGCACCACGGGCAAGCGCAAGGCCTGCAAGAACTGCTCTTGCGGCTTGGCCGAGGAGTTGGATACTGAAAAGGCGAACCAGAAGGCCACCGAGAACGCCAAGTCAAGCTGCGGAAATGTAAGACAATATACATATATTATTATAAACGCCTTTCTATTCTATAACATGAATTCCCATAAATACAGTGCTATCTGGGCGACGCCTTTCGCTGTTCCACTTGCCCCTACCTGGGCATGCCCGCCTTTAAGCCCGGGGAGAAGGTGCAACTGGGTGACAACCTCCTGAAATCCGACATTTAGCTTAGCCACTCCATGACACGCCCAACCAATCACATTTCAAATAGTTTATTAAGCCGACTTACTAACAAACAATAATGTCATAATGTAAATACAAAAATGCACCGCGCCACAAACACAGCGTGTAGATTCAAATATCCAACTGCTCACATTTCGCATGGTGTACCCTTGATGAGATCGCGGTTCTGGCCCATCAAAATGCGATAGTTGACGGCCGAGGGATCGAGTTCCTTGTACAAATACGTCGGCATCTTGTCGGACAGCACCCAAATGGTGCCCTCGTTGTCGATCTTCATGTCGTTGGGGAAGACCAGAGTGTGCGAGTCGGAATCGATCAGACCCTGGGTGTCCGGAGTGTAGGGACGCTTGATGTTCCAGCAGGCGATGGCGTCTTTGTTGACCTGCGTATAGAAGATGACGCCGGTCTCGGGATCAAAGACCTCAGCGGTGGACTGGCCGTTCATTCCACGATCACCAACGTATTTAAAGTCGTAGTAGGAATCTCCGCCGGTCACATGAGATTCGTTCTGCAGCACTCGGTTGGAAACCTTGAACTCCTTGGTACTGGCCAGAGCATGGAAATAGATGTCCTTGGAGTGGTCCGGATTCATGGGACCCACGGCCAGGCCGAATACACCGTCCGTCCACTGGAAGTTCACGCCGCCCACATTGAAATCGCCCTGCAGTGGATCAAAGTGGAAGAAGTTGTGCTTCACGCGATACGATTTGTCGTTCCTCAGCGAGTACACAATCACGCCGTAGGCTCCCAAATCCGGGATATATGCGAAGGCATCCTGGCACTCCGAACGGTCGGCATCCACCACCTAGAAATCAGGTATATTTATCAGTTTTCGAGTTCATCTGTCGCGAATTTTATCTTACAATATTCGCAAAGAACGAGTCCTCCTTCGATTGATCATCGGGAATAGTGAAGCGACGCACCAATGTATCGGTCTTTAGGTCAAAGACCAGGATCGTGTTGGGTGTAATCTTCTTGGGACTGCCCAGGATGTCGGCCAGACCCGTATCGAGAACCCATAGACGATCGCACACGTCCACCTGAATTCGGAATGTAGAAATAATGGTCGAGTTGTTCTTCAACTGAATGCCGGCATCTTGAGCCTTGTCTGCATCCAGGCGTCCGCCCGATGGTGTCTTCTGATCCTGCGGCTGCACATCAATGGGCAGCTTGTTGGCCTCCCAACTGGGATACGGGTGCAACTTCGGGGACTTCTCCGTCGAATCGAGATCGATGTAATTAAGGGTGGCGGCAACACCAGCTTTCCATCTACGATTCAATAGAAAATTTAATTTGACTGAAAGATGATCTTTCAAAATTTAATACTTAGAATAAACTTACAAAAAGTTTTTGCGATTAAAAATAGTATTTTTAGGCAAAAACATTACTAAATCAACCGGTTTGCATACAAGTTTTTAGATCACACTTGCTTGGTAAATACTTCTGTAATTATTATAAGACTGATTGGCCTGTGTCTTATAATTAAAGTCTTAGCTTTTTAGATTAAAGTCATATTTTCTAAAATCGCGTTTTTTGATTGCCTTGCTTAGATAATTGTTGACCTCTCAAAGCTTTCTAGTGGAACTTTGTTGGGAATAAACAATTTTGAAGTTTAATTTGATATATTAAAAACTTGCCAATTAAAAGTAATAAAGGAAAATGATTTAATTTAATTAAATGTGTTCGATTTCTACCATATTCTATATTTAGGTAGACCATACCTGACAGGGTTTGATGCGATTTGTTTTTTATTTTGATAATGCGATTACTCATATCTCCCGAAAATGGGATTTGTTTTTGGGTCTTTTTCGCCATTGAGCGCATCGTGGGTAAGTCCCGATAAGAAATGACGTCATGAATGAATTTTGTTTACTAGTTTTTTGAAAGTTCTGCTTTAATGAGAACAGTTATTTTCCATAGAATTTTCCGGTCATGTGTTTTCACTTATTTAATTATAATTTACCGAATGCTTTGATTTGCATTTAGAAACCACGATTTCAAATGCAAAATAGACTTACACAAAGGAAAAAAAATGATAAAGCTAACTATCCAACGAGGAAACCGGTTTCCACTCTTGACGCTCGATGATTTTGCAAGTCTAGCTTGACATTTAATTACCAACAAAGCCAACAAAAAAGGTAAATATTAAACAAATTAAATAAGAAAAGTTAACAAGGGGTAACCACGCATTTGTTGTCGGTTTTCGGTTTTCGGTTTTAAATGCGGTAATTTACCTTGGCACAGTAACAAAGATTCTGTTTTGCCAGCGCTCCACGCCCAGTGGCAGGTTGTTCTCCTCAATGTAGTGGCCATTCGACTTGGCCTCCGCCTCGGCCTCCGGATTTGGCCAATCGAAGGCCAGCTGCTTCCACGAGAACTTCTCCTCCAGCTTGGCCGATGCACTCCGGCTTAAGCCGCCGACCAGGCACAAGATTAGGCCAAGACTCACCATTCCCAGGGGGTTCATTTCGGAATTTTGGTATTCAAGAGTTCGGTTTTTTGGGCTTTTTACTACCTCCGTTCGGTTTGAGTTGAGAACGCTAACTGCAAGAGCTTGGATCGGAGTCGGGCTTAATATGTTGGCTTGGAACCAATTCGACTAAAGCTTAAAGCTCGGTACTCGAAGATCGGATCACGCAGTGTTATAATCTGTTATATTTAGATACCCAGCTGGGTCTTAAAGTTGTTTAATGGTTGGGGGTTAAAATTAGCAACATAAGCGGAAGAAGATGTCGACTTTGTGCACTCAAAAAGCACATCTGGAATATCATCAACTGTACAGCGAACCCCATATTATTGTTGACAACTAATGGGTCAAAGAAATATCACCAGGATTAAACGTAAAAAATAGGAAATAATAAACCTAAGATAAAAATTCACTTTGAATGGTTATGCTTATTTATACCTTATCGCAAAAAATGTAAGATAAACAAACAAAATTATTAAAATTGCATAAACAATTCAAACCTTGATTTAATGAATAAAGGTTATTGATTCTCTCATTAAAATGCAGCACGAGTGAGGTACAAAATAAAATGTTTGCTTTTAAGAACGATTTGCATTTTAAGAAAATAATGTGTGGAAGATGTCAAATTATTAAGACTGATTAAGTTAAAGTAAACGAACTTTAAATTTAAACATGTTACATTAGCTTTAGCTAAAAAATATAAAATTAACCGACTTGCAAATAAAACTAAATGATTTCTATAGTTTGGTTTCTTGAACAGCTTTCTTTTGGCGCTGCATAGTTTCAGACAACACGAAGACAGTTTCAAATTAAGAAGCTAAAAATCAAAGTTTACTGAACTCTGCTGACAAATTGTTTGATTATTTGTGTTTAACAAAGATTTGTTTGGTACAAATGAGACAAAGGTGAGACCTATTTACGTTTATATGAATGGTAGATAAGAACTTGATTTTAAAATCACAATCAAAACCAATGACATAGTTCTTTAATTTCAAAAAGAAAGTAAATAAAATAAAAACACAAAATTAAGAATAGTAGTAAAGTAAAGCATTTGAATATTTACTAACAAATGAAATCCCACCATTAATACAGTTCTTAAATAATTCTGTTTTGTGTTTTTATTCAGTAAAATTCTCATTTATTCCGTTTTATTAAACTTTAAATTAATTCGTTAATGTTACATTCATAAGAACATACCGAGTTTTTTTATTACTTTGACCTTTTGTTTTTCCTGCATATTGCTACCATTTTGTGTGGTTCATATTTATTTTGTCACTAACAGTAAATTTTCACTTTTTTTGTGTTTTCGTTTGAAATAAATCTGGATTTATTTTACCTTTGCTTTTTCTATTTACTCGTATTTATACAACAATTAGCTTGGCTAAACTGTGTCTTACTTTACTAAAAGTTCTTCTTTCGGCTGTGATTTGAACAAAAGCATAATATTGATTCGGATTTGAAAACACAAGTCGATTAAATTGTTGCAATTGCAGATTCGGTTGCTTCTGGTTGTAATTTTCTATAGTGTTAAGGAGGCGCAGCTAAATGCTCTATATACAATATACATGATCTCGAGTTACACGTCTACCCTAACAGCGTTCCCTATATGTATACGAAATACAATCCAATTAAACTACAAATTCCAACGATCCTTAACAAATATCAATGTACTAGAGATGTTCTTTGCCATGTGTAAATTTCATATATATATATATATATATTTCAATATTTTTATATATAATCATTGTTTATCGTGTGTATAGTATTCATTTCATTTGCTTGGTTTTCCATTTTATTTAACGGCTTAGATTTTAAAGTCTTTCATTTCGTAGGAATTTGATGTTGTCTATGTACGTTTCTTATAGCACTTTTCGTGATGGAATTTTCCCCTTTCTATTAAATTGATTGAATGTGAGTGATATTGAATTTAAAAGGTTTGATTGAGGGTGAGTGAGTGATAGTATGTTATGCAAGTTAGTGAGTTAATTATTTGTTTTCAATAGGTTTCAGTTAAGTTTTAGTTTAAATAAAGTCAATTCCTATATAACGACGCCCTCAATTATGTTCGGTTTCTCTTCATTTCCTGTGTATAATTTATATACTTTATAAATGCAATTTTAGAACTTACAGTACGTTCAAAAATTTTTCATTACCATTTAATTTGTCTATGTATAACAGTACATAAAAATTAAAACGTTTCTTGAGCACTTAACCCACCCATAATATAATAATATTAACTTTTGATGCTACACTAGTCTAAGCTAAATGTATACATATCCTTTCATTATCTAATATTTGCTAGACTTTTCATTCGATTTGTGCTATTTACGACTTGCTGAAATGTAAACTATTAAAACTTTTATCGAGAGCACACTTACACGTCACACACACACATGGATCTATACAAAGTGCCTAAAGCTAACTTAGCTAACATATTGGGAATCAAACCGATTACCCTGTCGAGATCTACAGAGTTCCATAGTTTGATCCCCGGAGTCTAGGAGTTTGGTTTGTATTGCCGCGACCTGGTTCGAAAAAGACACGTAAATCAAAACTGAGAATAAGGAGAAGGCCGCCAGTTAGGGGTTTTCATCTATGCAGATTAATTATAGAGAGCTCTTGGAGAAAGC